ATACTTTTCTTTAGTGTGATCTGTTACATTGCACTAAAGAAGCATTTTTATATATTTCTAGGTTGCTCCACGAGTTGTTATCTTACCATATTCAGCTATTCAAGTAGCTCAAGTCCTCCATCATGTCATTTCTGCCCTGCATGAAATACAGCTACCTAGGCAACTATTTGCTCATCCATCTAGCTAGCTTCCAAGGAACTAGAGTTGTGTTCGCAGAAGATAAATGCATGTAACATGCTGGAAAACAGAAAAGCAGTATAGCTTGCCACCATGAACCTTAGAATTCTGCATCTCAAATAAGAAAGTACATTTGCTATCGTGTGTTATCTAACACTGTGCTTTACTGAGGCAAGAAATGCAAATACCTATGAGATGTGGTGACAGGAAAGCTGTGGGAGTCTTGCATTCTAAGTGCTAAATACCCAGAACTCAAATAATGGACTATTTTTTACTGAAGAGCCAATATATCAAAGAGTAGGTGTTGAGATTCTGATAAAACACAGATATCTCTGATGTCTTTTTAGAGGAAAGAAATCTACCAAGAATTAAACAATCAGAATTAAACAATTAACAATAGAAACACTAACAAAAGTTTAGTAAAGGCTTTGCATAGAGCCCCAGATGGAGATCTGGCCGCTCTATCTTCCTCCACTTCTTTCTCTAGTATGAAACTCCATACAATGTGAAATCATCAACCTGGGGTTGGGAGTCAAAATGATGGCATGTATGTCATGAAGTCTTTGTCCAAATGGTACATTTAAGGATGTAATAAAGTCAGATGCAAATACATAAATCATGATGCACATGTTGTCCCACTTGTTCTCTTTTCCAAGAGTTAAACTGACCTCTTTTCCTAATGTCCTAATGTATTTTATTACCGTATTTTATTTTTATATCTTACTACTATGTTGTGTTTATCATATGTTAAATACATTATGTATAAGATTTGCATTGAATTTATATTTTATATTCCCAGTTAATAAAAATATTACATAAATTGATTCTCAAAATGTTAGAAAAGGACATTTCAGGTTTAGAGAACATTGTTCTCAAGGGCATCCTAGTCTATCTTTAATATAAAGTTCCTATAAATGAATTCAAAATGTACATACAGTGAGCATGTAATAAGAGATATGCATTAACCATAATTCCAAATAAGGCTGTACCACTGTATAGAATTCATCTCCAGATATAGAATTGGGTAGCTTTCTTGTACAGAAAAGGAACATTTTTGCAAGATGAATTCTTTTGAATTTGCCAAATGCAAATCAAGGTGCTGGTCGCTTTCTATAAAGTCTTACATGGCACAGGGCCTAGTTTCTTAATGGACCATCTATCGCTCACAGTATCTACCCAGATGAGTTCAATCTAGCAGGGTTTCAGGTTCCATTAATTAAACAATTCTGTCTGTCTGGACCCCAGAAATGCACCTTCTCTGTAGTAGTACCTGCCCTCTGAAATGATGTTCTCTGGAATTAGGTTCTCTCAATTCGAATGGCTCCCATCATTCTGGTGCTTCTTAGGGCCTTAAAAACCTGCCTTTTTGCCCAGACCTTTGGAGAGAACAACTGCCACCCTCTCTTCCCTTCTGTTCCCTTCTTTGTTTTTCTTTGCCATTATTTTCTTTTATCTTGTGCTGTTTTTATGGGTTTTATGTTGTTGTTCCTTGTTTTAATTTTTTTTAACAATTATAAACTGCTGGGAGTGGGACAGTGTATAAATTTAATAAATTATTATTAGTAATAGTAGTAGTATTTCCTGATATTTCATTAGATGCATAATCCCAAACTGCAAAAACTGTAAACATATTTTAGCAGAAAAAGAAATTAGTTTGTATTAGTTTTGAGTGACTTATATTTAATGAAAAGATCCCTTTCTGATCCTTTCCCTGGAAAAGAATGTGAATAGTGACTATCTAAAAGAAGTAGCTGTGATTAAAATCATATTTAGCTATATAACTTGCTACCTGGAGTTCAAACTAAGACATAGGCAGCAGCTCAGTCTCCTGGCTTTTTATTGTTATGCAAGAACCTCTGGATCAGAAGCCTAAGTGGGGATGGGAAAAACTAAATAATTTGCTGTCCATTCCCTCATTCGGCTATTTGGACTACAAAAAACAAACAAACAAAAAACAACCCCTTGTTTCTTGTTAACAGAATCTGTCCTGGCAACAGCAATTGCAATTGTGCCTCCCTTATGGAGCACAACCCCTAAGGGGTAGAGGTCAATCCCATTAAGTCCATGATTGGACTCCAGTTCAGATGATGCTTATTTTTTAAAGCACATAATTATCAGCTACAGATAGACATCCACTTACAATTACAATTGAGCCCAAAATTCCTGTTGCTAAGCAAGACAGTTGTTAAGTGAGTTTTGTCCCATTTTAAAAACCTTTTTTGCCATAGTTGTTAAGCAAATCACTGCAGTTGCTAAGTGAGTCATTAAATGAATCTGGCTTCCCCCCATTGACTATGCTTGTCAGAAGCTGACTGGGAAGATTACAAATGGTGATCATATGACCCGGGACAGGTGACTGTCATAAATACATGTCATTTGCCAAGTGCCACAGTGTTGATTATGTGACCATGGAGATGTTACAGTGGCCAAAAGTGTGAAAAATGCTCATAAGTTGATTTTTCCAGTGCCATTGTAACATCAAACAGTCACTAAATAAATGGTTGTATTACTTGAAGTTTATTTCTGAACAGAAATGCTGTTCGGAATAGGCTCCCTTAAAGTTAAAACACTAGGTTCGTGATAATTCTGATTTTGTTTAAGGACAGGAAGAGAATATAAACAATTAGAGAAAATGTCATAAATCATATAATGCACATAAATCCACAATTTATAATTCTAAGAATGATTAATATATAAATAAGTTTGTCTCATCTATGTTCATTTTAAATGAAGCAGAATTGCTAATATAATATAAATGAGATAAATAAAACATACAATTCCCCTCTTGACTAGGCTGAAAACATATCTCAGGAAAAGCTAGACCTTAGAAGAAATACCAATTATTTCTTAAACAACAGTCTATTAAATCTGGTTATATCATTTGTTTGAATACACAAGGTATGTTAATAAAATGATTGTATAATTTTAAACCTCTTTTATTATTTTGGCAGCCTGTAACTTAATATGATTGCATTGTTTCAGAGAAAATCAAGTATTTAATCGGAATGTTGTAGTGTAAGCCTTATAATTGAATTAAGAATTTAAAAATCACATGGTTGATTAATTCACACAGCTTCAATCATAAGTCTTGTGCATGTAAATAAAGGAATTACATAAATTCACAAAGCCAAAAGAACAATTTTATTTAAGATATTTTAGTTAGTCAAATTAATTTGGAAAGTAGTGAATGATTTAATTCTAGGTAGGTTTACTTGGAAATGGCCTACTTGACTAAATATGCTTATTTAGGCTATTATTATTATTATTATTATTATTATTAGTAGTAGTAGTAGTAGTAGTAGTAGTAGTAGTAGTAGTAGTAGTAGTAGTAATGTTGGAAGGGACCTTGGAGGTCATCTAGTCCAACCCCCTGCTCAGGCAGGAAACCCTATACCATTTCAGACAAATGGCTGTCCAGTCTCTTCTTAAAAACTTTCAATGTTGGAGCATTCACAACTTCTGGAGGTAGGTTGTTCCACTGATAAATTGTTCTAGCTGTCAGGAAATTTCTCCTTAGTTCTAGGTTACTTCTCTGTTTGATTAGTTAGGCTACATAATTATAATTAATTAATTATTAATTAATTGCATCAAGGGAATTTTGAAGTTATTTTTTCTTATGTACACACTTACTACTACTGCAAGCTTCAAGAAAATAACAGCAGCACACTGTACATCTTTTGCTTTCATTTCTTCAATAGGGCAACAGACTATTGGATAGCATGAAACTTCAGTTTGCTCTATTATTCTGATGTTAATGCATTTCCATGTGATAATGATCTTTTCTAGGGAATCTAGTTAGAAGAAGAACCTTCTCTAACTTTGTGCTCTTCAGATGACACTATCCTGTTGCCAGTCAGCAAAGCTATCCAAATGGTGGGAAAGTATTCCAGAACAATCTGGAAGGGAACAGATTGTGGACAGGTAATGTGGATCAATTTCATGCCTGCTTAGATAACTGCATTAGTGGGCCAAAGCGTATGATACATAACATTCAAACATTATTTGTTGTATGTAAAGCTGCTATTCCACAGCACCATTTTCCACAAGCACAATAATAACAGATAAATAACCTACAGTATACTTCTTTAGAAACTGTTCTCAAAAGTAAGAAAAAAACACATAATTCTTCCCTTCCATAGTTGACGCCAATAACAGAATACATCTTCTATATGAGATTGGCACTATTATTGACACAACTGAATTCTTGAGGCTATAAATGCCAAGCACAATTTATAGGAAATGATATTACCCAGACAGTTGGCTCTAGGATAATATACTTAATTTTAAGATGGACCATGGATCAAATTTAGAGACTATAATGACTCTTTTATCTGCCCTAAAATCATGCCAAAAATCCAATTACATTTAACAAAGCCCTGATCCTACTGTAGAAGGACTTAACTAAGCATACAGAAAACCTATTTTGCTGATTCAGTGTTGGATTCTTGACAGCCTTGTATATACTTTAGAAATAATGGGGGAAAACATTCATATCAGTTTATGGTACAAACCTTGTTTTATAGAGACCATGTAATAGCAATATCCAGAAAGCTACTTAGTAAGGCAGAGCTGCCAAAAATTATACGCAAACTATTACAAAGTTTAATGCCAGCATAGTTTTCTCCCTATAGGTGTTGGGATTAAAATTCCCAAATTTCCCATTCAGCATGGCTAACATCTCAATGAGATAAAAGAGGAGGCAAGTCTAATCAATTTTTGACTTTTCTGAAAAACTGGAAAGCAGGAGGAGAATTTGTACAATACATAAACTGTGAAAAGAATGTGTCACTGCTTCACATCAAAAAGCATATTACAAAAAGTACCTGAGAATGTTTTGACACCCAGTGGCGAAGGACATTCAGGACACGATTAGTGGCTGCACGACATATTATGAACTCCTTATCCCATGTTCGTTCAGAATTGTTAAATCCTACACATTTTAAAGGAGATATACAATAAAATCAAATCGATTAGATGAAGAAAATTATCAAAGTAAAATTCTTCACAGTATAGCTTCATTGGATAAAACAATGTTTTAAAAATTATTTTCATTGTTGACATACAAAGAATTTTGAAAATTTTGGTTACACACATACATTAAATGATACAACATATTTGCAACTACCGAAAGAGAATTTCCTGCATTTATAAACAAAATGTTTGACTGAATTTGCTTCATTTTTCTCTATAATTCTGAATATTATAAACTGAATTCAATATTCTATTATAATATTACACAGTAACATGTGGGTCAGTTTAAAACAAGCACAAGTGCAATTTTTCAAGAAAAAAAGGGGGGGGCTAAGTTCATTGCTCATAACCTATTCCTTGCTACTCACTCAGATTTGTAACTATCTTGATAGACATACATGCAGCTACTGAATCAGTGTAGGGAATATAGCTAATATTCCCTATACCAAATAATCTCAAATTCTCATTGTATGATTTTCTCCAAAACTGCTAAGAGGCAGGCTCAGGAGCATACCTAATGCTGTCAAGGAAGTTTTTTCTGACCGTATCCAAGCATGAACTCCTACTGGTAAATAGTCTTTAATATGCCAGTTCTTTGTGGTTTCAAACATTGGTAGTTAAGGATCAAATAATTAAGGGTAACAATTTCTTTAATACATTAATGTAATTGCTTGCTCTCAATATGTTGCTTCTGTTAATAACGTAACCATTTGCTTTATGGATCACTGAAGTCTCTGATCGTTTTTCAAAGGCAGAGTCATGCAGAGGGTATTAACAGTAATTCAGATAGCACATATTTAATATAAATTGAATAAAGGCAGGGCTTTTTTTCTCATAGAAAAAAACGGAGTTCTGGCACCTTTTTTGGATGGAACCTTGTAAGGTAGGCAAGGCGGGTTGTATGACGTGTGAGTTCTGGCACTTTTTTTTTTTTTTTTAGAAAAAAAGCACTGAATAAAGGCATTATCTAGCCACAAAATCCAACCCAGATTAAGGCTGGTTCCAAGATAGCCATCAGATGATAAACTTGTGTTTTCAAAGCAACAGTGCATTATAGAATCTAGCAGATTTAACTGCAACAATTCTATAAATGCATAGATTATATCTATTTCCCATAACTGGTCCATTTTCCCCAAACTAATGTTCAAGATATGTGCCAAGAAGCAAGGGAAATAATATGCTGATTGTCATTCACATGCAACCATTGCATTCCTCACATCTTTTAATAACCAGAAACACTAAAGCTGAGTGTCCACGTGAGCACTTAGTCTAAATATCCCCAAACGTTTGATAGGCAGATGCTATAGCTACCAGGCTTCACTCTATTTATAGCATTTAAAGCTGAATGTGTATATTGCCTGGGTCTATAGTTTTCTTAGCAAGATTTCAGAATTAGTTTACTATTGCCTGCTTCCTAGCGCTGAGAGAGAGTAACTGGCTTCACGCTGAAAGGATGACTAGAACTCATGTTCTTCTGTTTTTAGCCTGACGCCTTAGCCACTATACCAAACTGATTCTCTTAAAGCTGAATAGACATATGTAAACAGTTTCATATGCAGGGAAACTTCAAAATTGTTTCCATATTTAGAAAAAGAACACTCCTTTCTCCTTTTCTCAGATTTCCTACAGTTGGGATTGGATGGACTTATTCTACTCTTGGAGAGAAAGTTTAGCTTCTTTTCAGCACCTACTATGACTGATTTTAAAGACACTTGAAATGTAAGAAACTTTCTGCTACTTATTGCACTGCTTGCAGTACACATATTGTGGTCATATTACACAGAATCAGAGGTGGGGTTTTCTGTGTGCATGGCTCTATCATTTAGCTAGGGACTAAACAAGCCAACTTTCAACATTTTCTAGTTTTATGATGAACCTCCATCTAACTTTCTGTGAATTATTCAACATGATAAAATCAAAAGTACGCAAGTTGAATGCAATCTTAATGGTTTACTTTGAAGAAGATGTGCCAACTTTGTACTTAATTATTATTGGAGTTGATAGTCTTAGTATGCAAAAGGAAATAAAGGGAATCCTGAAAATGTCAATCGTGTGCTATATGTGTAAACTAATTAATAAAAGAGTCTTAAGTCAATGTCACGCAGCTACACAAATTTATAGAAAGCTACTTAAACATATTAGTTATAAAAACATAAAAAAATAAAAATAACCACTACAGTTATCAAGGGCTTGAAAGAAATGTTAAGAAAATGTTAATTTCCTGCCTATAAACTAGGGATATCAGTGCAACTCTGTGACAACAATACTTAAAGCAAGTGAACAGAAGACAGTTACATTCAGAATGTTTCAATAAAATAAGCTTAGTAGTACAGACACAGGACACAAACAAAACAAATATTTCTTCTTTCAACTGCACATATCTTGCATACTTAATTCCTACAAAATTTGATAGTTTAGCTGTGGTTATAACAAGAACTTATATTTAGGACGCTCAGAGCTATCAGTTAGTACTAGATAAGGCAATTATAAATGTAGCTTTTACATACAGTATACGGAAATAGATTTTTGATTGTCAAAACATGTCAGGACTAGAGATGACAATCTCTGTTATTGGTTCACTATATTTGTTTGTTGTCCGGTTCCATCCAGGTGATCATTGTTCAGATTCCTGTTCCACTATATTCTTAATTAGATATAGCAAGACAGTTTTACAATTTTAATTCCTCTTACTTTCATTCATTTATACAGCCACCAGTGGGAAAGAATGTTGCAATGAAGAAGAGTGTTGATAACATACTTGTTCCTGTTTTTCTAATAAATTTCTAAGGAACACCCATCAAACACCACTTTTTTGAAAGAATTAATAAACGTCTGAAGTATTTTTGAATAGCCATTCCAACCACAGGACTAAAGTACCATACCTATGAAGATGTGCAGCATTTTGATTTTTTGGTTTTATACTATTGTTATTTGAAACTGCAATTCTTGTTCAAATTAATGTTAAATCAATCGAAGAGACACAATGAGTCATAAAGGAATTTATTTTGCTCACATAAATAAGAATGCTCCTTCTGTCAAAACAGAATGAATCTTGACTAATCCTGGGTTTCCATAACAGCTTTTCATATGAAGATGGGCAATTGAAATTTTACAAAAAGGCACTCCCTGCACTGCTGTTGAATGGTACAGATACATTCTCAAGAGTCTACATAGTAGAAAATATACACATTTGAGGGATTTAATTATTCTTTGTCTCCTGCTTCTTCTGCATTAGAATTTACTTATTTTAAAAACGCTTCTCTTTATAAAAAACAACTGTACAGATTTAAATACATATAAAGCATAAGTTTATTTAATTTTAATTAACATGAAAAGTAAATGAAATGAGTTTTTTTTTGTCTTGGCTCTACCACAACTCTTTAGAGCGCAGACTTTATTATGGGGCAAGAACAGACCATAACTCAGATTTCTAATGTAGTAATGTAAAGAAACCTATGCATATTTCCAGTATAAATTAGAATTCAGAGGCATTATTAACAGGTATCATGTCTAATGTAAAGTATTATTGGTCTCCTAGGATATCTCAAGGACATCCAGGACAACTTGGTCCCATCACCTGCTGATGCTTTTAACTGAAGACCGGAGGACTAAATCTGGAACTTTCCTTAAATGCGCTATCACTAAACTACATCACCTTTCCTTATAAAAGGAGATATATTTGTTAACATGTATTTATCAACAAGAAGTCCTCTTTATCTTTCTCAGATAACTGTAACTTTAATTCAAGGTTATTGCTTAATAATTGCTTAATAAAAGCTTCATAGTGTGATTTGCCAGTCTGAAAGAAAGCATTTACCCAACCATTTGACAGAATTGCTAAGCAACAGTTCTCCAGATTCAAAACAGCTCTTACTTCTGAAACAAAAATAGAATTCTATTCAAATTCATCACAGTTTGTGAAAGTTACAAGGAAAATATATGTAGATGGCTATATAATTTACAGACAGATTCAGTCTTTGCATCTCAGAGAGATGAATATTTGGAGATAAAACAATACACAGATTTTTGATAAAAAGTAATAGGAAGAACATGCCAAGTACAGGTTCATACTTAGCAAAAACTGCAGTCTTAATAACAGAAACATTGTTCAGCTTGATTCTTGCAAAAATAAGATATTGAAATCCTAGCAACTAGGCAGATGTTGTTTGCATCATTTTCTTTATCCGTGTTAAATATTTGCCCGAAGGGGCATGAAACAAAACAACATTTGCAAATTAGTATAGTCAGAAGAACTTATGTATTTATGTAAGAAAATAAGCAAACAAATACCTTACTGTAATCCAGTGATGGCGAACCTATGGCACGTGTGCCAGAGGCAGCACTCAGGGCCCTCTCTGTGGGCATGCGCGCCATGCCCGGGAGATACATCCCTAGCAGAGCCAAGCTTGCCAGTGATGCCAATACTCATGGCAACTCCACAAGGAAAATCAGTTATCATTATTTTTCAGTGGTTTCCCATAAAAGCATCGTATTTTATAATTTTTCCAAAAGTTTATTTTTAAATTGGAAATGCAATTCAAGATTTATTGTAGCAGCATCTGTGAAGATATCAGTTTAAACTTGGGCTGTAATCCCTATTATTTCCATCCCATTCAGTCCAAAAACTGAAGAAACATTAGATGTTCTGATAATTCTCATTACAGATTAACAAATTCTTCTTTAAAATCAAATTTCATATCAGGTAGAATAAATTGGTTTGTCCTTAAATCCTGAATTAGAAACTTATCATGCTCATATGTCCAGTTCAATTCAAATCAGGGCTGATTCACATAGATCAATTAGTAATCTTACCTGGTGGACTTCCATGACCAGCTGCAGCTGTAGCAATAGCAAAAGCAGAAGCAGGAGAAACAGAACAATGACCATTGTCAGTCACCTGTACTGCAAGGAAAATAAAAATAAATACAACATCAGCTGACATTGTTTTATAAATTAAAAACACCTCACTTCACATTGTTTATAAATAAGAATCCATTTGAATATCTCTGTGCATACTTTATAGATAGATAGATAGATAGATAGATATCTCTATCTCTATCTCTAGATAGATAGATAGATAGATAGATAGATAGATAGATAGATAGATANGTCCGGATCTCGGGGGGTAGTTCGTTCCAGAGGGTGGGGGCACCCACAGAGAAGGCCCTCCCCCTGGGGGTCGCCAGCCGACATTGCTTGGCCGACGGCACCCTGAGGAGACTCACTCTGTGGGAGCGTACCGGTCTATGGGAGGGAATCTGTGGCAGAAGGCGGTCTCAGAGATAACCAGGTCCGATGCCATGGAGCGCTTTAAAGGTGGTAACTAACACCTTAAAGCGCACCCGGAAGGCCACTGGCAACCAGTGCAGCTCGCGCAGCAGCGGTGTTACATGGGAGCGACGAGTCCCTCCCAACACCGCCCGCGCGACCGCATTCTGGACCAGTTGAAGCCTCCGGGTGCTCCTCAAAGGGAGCCCCATGTAGAGAGCGTTACAATAGTCCAGGCGGGAGGTGACGAGAGCATGGGTGACTGTGCGCAAGGCGTCCCGGTCCAGAAAAGGTCGCAATTGGTGAATCAGGCGAACCTGATAAAACGCCCCCCTAGATAGATAGATAGATAGATAGATAGATAGATAGATAGATAGATAGATAGATAGATAGATAGATAGATAGATAGATAGATCTTTGCTTTGAATTTTAAAATTATATATCTTTCTTTCTCTTCTGCTTCTGGAATACTGAATTTAATATTTTTCATTGTTCCCCAAAATGAATCAATTTATAGAATCTTACTGTACAGTAAGAGTACCATTGTCAAGCTCTACCAAGGCAGGCATGAATTTGTTTGAATTTTCCAGAGTCTCTATACAGTATGTTTAGTCTCAATCTTTATGACAACTCAAAATGGAATATTTCTACTCCAATTTCATGACTTTGAGGAGTATACAAGAATCTCAACAAGCAATCTTGAAATAAGTTAGTATAAAGAAATAAAAATAAACAAAAAGGTGTCATTAGGAATCAAAATATTAAGAGCCTATTTTAAAAGGAAGATTTTAAGGCCCCCCCAAAAGCATGTTTCCATAAAGATGGGTCCACCATTGAGAAGTTTTGCTTTTGGACTATACCTCTGTAACCAAAGCAGGCCTACATCTAATGACTTAACAGGATTCCACAACTTTATGTTCTTTAGGCTCAAAACCATACTACTCTCTTCCCAGGTTTCCTTCTGTTTAACAGTAACCTGGTCTTTTATTTTCCTGTTTGTTAATGCCTGTTACCTGTCCATATTCTCTATATTACTGTAATAGCTACTATCAAAACTCTTAATAATTATAATCCAATGTATATGTGTGTGTGTGTGTGTGTGTGTGTGTGTGTGTGTGTATACATGTATAGAAGGAAGGAAGGAAGGAAGGAAGGAGGGAGGGAGGGAGGGAGGGAGGGAAAGAAAGAAAAAGAAAGAAAAAGAAAGAAAGAAAGGAAGGAAGGAAGGAAGGAAGGAAGGAAGGAAGGAAGGAAGGAAGGAAGGAAGGAAGGAAGGAAGGAAGGAAGGAAGGAAGGAAGGAAGAAAAAGAAAGAAAGATAATGCCAAGGTTAGGGTTATTGTTAACTAGTGAAGCTATCCTATTTATTCTCTCTGCAGTTTCCTTAACAACTAGTTCCTAGCTTTTCCACTGGATTAGGACATCTATCTACTGTATGCCTTACATACAGAATACACTTATTATTAGGTACAGGATAATTTTTTTCTTCCTAACAATAGTAGGTATCTTCCTCACACCTGGTAGCCAAAATGTGCCCTCAGCTTGTATCACACAAATCTGTCAGAAGATCGAAATTAATGTTTTTCTCAAACAAATGTACATTTTGTTCAAAATATTTCAGAATATATCCTCACAGCTGAATGGAAATTTATCTTACTGCCAATGTCAATAATATTGAATGGTATTATTTCCATTTTTTTTTCTATATATTGTGTAATAAACGAACATTTTAAAAACAGTAATTAATATCCTAGAGGGGAAAAAATTAAAAAAAGAGAAACAAATTCAGGACTAAGTGATTTACACAAGAGTTCAAATCCTATTGAAGTAGCTTAATCCCATGCAGCAGTGTCCTGTAATGAAGTCAATATTTTCATATTACCTCCTGTCTGCCGGTAACGTAGATGTCGTGGAGTTGAAGGGGATCTGCATGGAGACAGCTCAGGAGGATCTACTGTTGAGGCACTTTCTGGGATAGGATGATCAACTGGTACAGATTCCAAAACTCCTGCTATTAAAAAAAACAAAAAACTCTAGAAATATAGGAAACATACTAAACTTTTATTCTAAAAACTTAATTTTCAGAGTGCAGAAAGAAATGATGGAAACACACTTTGAAAATGTATTTTGTACCTGGGCAGCATAGAGCCAGCATTTATAATTCCACATATAAAAATATATCATTGAAAGAAAAATATATTTCAACAGATTTTTAAATTGGTGAGCACAATATCAAATAATGCATGGATCAACTGGGTGTATGTTGTGTGTGAGGTATTCGATTGATACAAATTGTGATAAAATTGCAGAGGTTTCTATTTGAACACTATTGTTCAATAATTAATCACTATATTGGTATAATTTTGACAACCATATTATCCATGTGGCAGTGCATACTTAAAGAAGTTGCATCATTTCTTGGGTTTGCACAGCATCCATGCAACCTAGGGAAAATACATTTTTGGATTAAAGAGGTGCCACCACAAGGTACTTTGAAGTGGACAAAGGTACAATGTCAGCATCTCCTTAACTCAAATCAACAATTCAATAATAATTTAGGGGAATGTGATACTGTACAGTTGGAAATAGCAATGTTGGGGGGGTTTTGCACCAGTTCTAATGGTGCATACAAAACCTCAGAATCCAGGTTAAAGAAACAAGGAAGGTATTTGAATTATAAGACAGCTTAATGAAAAGAAAAAACATGTAGCTCACTAGAATTTATTGTTTGCAAAACCATTTTAGTATTAAATGTTAACTGAGAAAAGCTTTTCTTTTCAGTGTTGAGATTTGATTTAGTTCTACCTTTATGAAAAAAAAATCCCTTCATCTATCAAATACTTCACACTAATATTTAAAATAAATCACCACTGAGTTGATTTAGTTAAGAGGATTTTTTTCTATAAGATTATTCTCTTTATAATGTTATTCTAATACAAGCTTGGAGGAATAGACAAGCTCAGATATTACCAGCTTAATACCTAAGGTTCTATCCATCACAGGAGATGTCAAATATTCCCCATGGTATCACAATGTAGTATATCTTTCACACTGTTATTAGACTCTGCTGTACTATTTAGGGAACCTCAAAGGATGCTCCCTAAAAATAATTATGGTTCTGAACCAAAATTCCAATTTCTTGATCCAGAAGACTAAAATTCAGAATAATAAAATCATGACCATGAATTGTTTCCAGATGTGAGTTTACTGTGCTCCACTTGTTGCTTGGGAAAGCACTTGATAATGAAGAACAGATTTGACTTCTAGATTTAACACTTTATTTGGCACTGATAATTACTTTTATAGTAGAACATTATATCTTTTGTAAGGTAAAAACAATTTCCTAACACTGATAGCTCAACAATGGGGCCAGTTACTCAAAGAAATAGTGGACTTCCATTCATTGGCTGGATTCAAAAATAGCTAGAGGGCCATCTATCCTGGGTATCTTACGCATTTGACTTTCTGCAGAGAGCAAGGAGTTAGACATGATGTTTTACATGTCTCCCTTAACCCTGTGATTCTCCCATTCATTATTAGCTTTCTCACAAGATTAGGCACTTCTTCAGTAAATACTCCTGAACAATTCTTTAGGCTGTCAGAAAATCCAGGTATCTCATATTAAAAGCTAAAAATTGCAAATTAATATCTGTATCAATTAGTTTATTTTGAATAACTCTTTTATGTCAATCATTGATATGGTTAACCTTATACTTTTTAAATATTACTGATATTTATTTTTTAATAAATCACTGGAGATGTGTTACATATGTCCCTTCTTGCTTCAAGCGCTCTACCATCATCCTGATTCTTAAGAGATCCTCCTTCAGGAGCTAAATGACTACAAGCCGGTTGGTCTGACATCTGTAGTTATGAAGACCTTTGAGAGATTAGTGTTGGCCCATTTAAAAATCATCACAGATCTCCTGCTAGACCCCTTACAGTTTGCCTACTGAGCAAATAGGTCAGCAGATGATGCTGTCAATATGACACGGCACTACATCTTGCAACATCTTGAATCCCTGGGGATCCATGCATGGGTCCTTGTTGTATACTTTAGCTTGGCATTCAGTACCATCATTCCAGAACTTCACTCTAAACTGATTCAGCTCACTGTGCCTGTTCATAGTTGTAGGTGGATCATCAGCTTTTTGACAGATAGGAAGCATTAGGTGAAACTAGAGAAAATTACATCTAGTACCCAGACAATTAGTACAGGTGCCCTCAGGGCTGTGTGCTCTTTCAGTTGGTCTTCTCTTTCTATACCAATGACTGCAACTCAAGGGAACCCTCTGTTAAAGTACTGAAGATTGATGATGATACAACATCTTCAAGAGGGTGATGAGTCTGCATACAAACAGGAGGTCGAAGAACTGGGCCTGGGTGCAGCCAGAACAATCTGGAGCTGAACAAACTTAAAAATGTAGAGATGAGAGTGGAATTTAGGAGGAGCAATTCTATTCTACCATTTCATCTTATATTCAACAGTACAGTATCAGCAGTAGAGTCCTTCAAATTTTTGGGTTCTATAATCTCCCACTTAATATTACAACCATTATTAAAAAGGCACAACAAAGAATGTTCTCTCTGCATCAACTCAGGAAGTTCAGACTGCCCCAGGAGCTGTTGATACAGTTTTACAGAGGAATTATTGAGTCTGTCATTTGTACTTCTATGAATGTCTGGTTTGGTATAGCAATCAAACAGGAGAGGAACAAACTCCAATGGATAGTTAAGACTGCAAAAAAAACAATTGCAATCAGCCTACCTTCTACTGAGGACTTGTATATTGCGTAGGTCAGAAGGAGAGCTGAGAAGGTATCTACAGACCCCTCAAATCCTGGACATAAACTGTTTCAATTCCACCCCTTGGAATGCCACTACAGGTCACTGCATGCCAAAACTATTAGACACAGGTATAGGTTTTTTCCCTCATGCCCTTCATCTGCTGAATACCTAATTCTCACAGTGCTGTCTAATGTCTATATATATTTACCCATGTAGTATGGCTGTAGTATTATCGTGTATCCTTCCTATTATTTTCTTTACTCCTCCCTCTTATTGGGATGATAATGAGGAGGAGGACGATGATGATGATAATGATTCTGTTGCTTTGCATGTACACCGAGAGCTTCTGCACTGGAGATAAATTCCTTGTGTGTCTAATCACACTTGGCCAAATAAAGTATTCTCTCCTCTTCTCTTCTCTTCTTTTCTTCTAATGTATATACTGCTGCCACAGAGCAACATTGACAAATGGCATAACAGCTTTTTTTGCTTCTTTTTTAAAAAATGAGATTTATTAAAGAACTTTGTGAGCTTCATAACTGTACAAAACCTCTACGAAACAGACTATTGAATACAATTATTTATGTATTTTCTGTATTTTATCGGTGTTTTTATTGTACTCTCACAATAAATATTATTAACTCCATATTTTTGTGTTATGAAAATATATAGCAGAAAGATATTGAAAGAGTGTACCTTAGTAACCAAGATTGATTGGTTTAAACCAGGGGTAGTCAACCTTGGCTCTTGGCTTAGCTGGCTCAGGAATTCTGGGAGTTGAAGTCCATGAGTCATAAAAGAGCCAAGGTTGACTACCCCTGTTTAAACCATTTATATGGCACCCATCTAAATGACTCTGGATAATACACAGAAAGTTTAAAACCAAACTAAAATCAATGATTTACCTAATCACAGTCCAAAATCCAGAAAAGCATTTCAAGTTACCAATTCAACAATAAACTGGTTAACAATCAATTAACAGAGCTTGTTAATGTCCCAGTCCAAATGCCTGTAGGAACAGTTGTATTTTAAGTCACTTACAAAAAGTTAAAATGATGGGGACTGTCCAAATATCTAAAGAGATGCTGTTCAACTGATCAGGCATTGCAAAAGAATGCATGACTCCTTGTCCAGCAAGATGACATTGCTGGACAGAAGGGACCTGGAGCATGTTCCCCCTACCAGATCTGGTGGGACAAACAAAAACATTGGAAACAGGAGGTCCTGCGAGTTACCTAGTCCTATGTTATATAGGGCATTATAAGCAGCAACTAGCAGCCTGCATCATACTTAGAAGCCCATTGGGAGCCAGTGCAGCCCATGAAGCAGAAGCAAGCTTTGTATTTCATGAATGCAATGGGAGACACCAAATATAGTCTATACTAGTGTCTTTTGGATCATCTGCAGTAGATGAGAGGTGAATAAGGCATGAATTAATCTAAGCCCCCCCCAGTCCAGAGACATGTGCATTTAACACATATTCTTTGCACAGAAGTAATGAACATTTATCCATTTCAGGCTATTCTGTTTATTGGGGTTAAATTCTGTTTGCAATACCATTTACTCTGACCATGGACAATTTCACATTTTGAAATTTTCCATTATGACTATACAACTAAAATAGCTCTTGTTTTCCCTTTCCTGATAAATGGGATTAGCTTTTTTTCATAAAAAGGAATATATTTTTTTAAAAATAGTAACAGAAAATCTCTAATTATGTCCACAATTTGCCAGTGACTCCTTAACTATAGAATGTTTTTAAATATAAGAACAGAGACAAGATATTAAAGCGAAGCCTATTCTCTAAATCAGTGGTTCTCAACCTTTTTAATGCTGCGACCACAACCGGTCGTAAGTCGAGGACTAAACCGATCGTAAGTCGAGGACTAAACCGGTCGTAAGTCGAGGACTAAACCGGTCGTAAGTCGAGGACTACCCAACCGGTCATAAGTCGAGGGCTTTCCCTGCCCGGGAGCGCCGCGCATGTGTGGTTCCGCCCCCTGCGCCGGCCGAGGCGTAGCTGGCAAGCGGCAGAGACGGAGCAGGCCGACCACCAGCTGGCCCAGCCCAAGGGAGGTAAGGCACCCGCCAGAAAAGGGGGAAAAATGGCGGACAAAAAAAATGGCGGACAAAAAAATGGCGGACAGCCTTGCTTGGCGACCTCCATGAAATGGTTGATCGACCCCAAATGGGGTCCCGACCCACAGGTTGAGAACCACTGCTCTAAATTATTGTAACGTGATACATGGGAGTTTGGGAATTCAGAAAACTGGAAAATATTTTTATCCAAGTACTGAACTATATTTTTCACAAGGTAGGTTAGTACAGTTATTCTGCATCTAATGTAATACAGTTGAAAAATGCAGTCTGTAGTCTGGATATTATTAACTAGAATCTATAAGAAAAAGGTAATATATATATATATATACTATGTGCCATATGATATACTAACTTTTGCTGAAAATAATCTCAGGAACATTATTTATAGGTAGCAATCATATAACAACCCTAATTGGATCAGAATTTCCATTGTCAAGCAAAATAGTTGTTAGTTGAAACATCATGTGATTATGCTTTTTAGCAATGGCAATTGCAGTAATCCCAGTTGTGGTCATTAGGTGAGAACCACACCATTGTTAGGTGAGGCCATCATGCTTCTCCTGCTTTGTGCAAAGGGCAGCTCGATCCCGCTGCCTCCTTCCCAACTAGGCCCAGTAAGTTCCCTTTGGCAGGCAAGGCCCTGCTCGTCTGTCATACTCATACACATTCATAATAGAAGAACTAGTGAAAAGTTGGGGGGGAAATTGTGCAATATTCCCAATGAATGATCCAAGGGAAGAAAATTCTATTAGGTGATATGAATACATAAATGGGAAATGAGACAAAAAAATAACAGAAAAAGTCACATGGCTGAATCAGTATGGTAACTGGGGGTCTGCTTAGAAAAAAAAACCAGTTTCAAATACATTATGTATTCATATTTATATACTTTTAAAAAATTAATACAAAACTAAAAGCATGATTGATTTGATTGTTTATATTGAAAGAACAAGAGAATCAGTAATATACACAAGGCTGATGAGAGGTTAGGGGATGTCAATGTCAGTGTTCTGTTTAAAAGGACTTCAAGTGTGGGTGTGTCAAGTGAAGGTCTGTGGTGGGTCTTGTGATGGGGCAGATGTGAGTCATCAGTGAGTCTTGTGATGGGTCTTGTAATGGGGAGGTTACCTCAGGTCAGGGACATTGGGAAGTGAACTGCTGGAGGTGGGGGGGGGCTTGCGTGGGTTGGTTGAGGGTCGATGCTGTCTCCACAAGCAATTCCATCAACAGACACATTGATCTACAACCAGCCTATGTACCTCTCAGGATCCAAATCAACCACCCAGCCAGAGACAGCACCAACCCTCAACCAACCTCTCAACCAAGCCCTTTCAAACAGAACACTGACATCCCCTAAACTATGCTGAAGATGTTACATAACCTGGTAACTAAATGTTCAGAGGGCAACCCACAAGCTTGGAGAACGAACTTGCACCCTCAACAACTCTTTTTCTAGCCTAACTGTAGATCCTTGCATTGGTGAAAGGAGAAAAGCTTATTTTTCTAATATTGCTTTCTATTTCTTTTCACAGATAAATTTAAGTGAAATAGTGGTGTCAGAAATCTGGTGGGTAGTATTCATACAAAATGTCAGCAAAGCCACTTTCACTATTCTACAGTAATCCAGTTGCTACATTAATCATAGTAAGCACTCATTAACTGCAATATATACAGCACCTTCCCTAACTTAGTTTCTAGAGACTCCCAAACTTTCAGAGAGCATAAGCATTAGCTGCTGCCTGGATATCTGGATATTGTAAGATTTCTAATCCCCACACTTGGAGGAAATCACACTGAAGAAGACTACATTATAAAGTTGTTATATAATATAATGAAACAGATAAATGATAGACAGACAGACAGACAGACAGACAGACAGACAGACAGACAGACAAATACCTCTTCGAATACTTCTTCGTAGCTTATTGCAAAGCTCATTGCGTGGATTTTCGGAATTGTCTTCTGAGAAACCAGGGCTTTGCTCTGGAGATGAAGGGCTTTTGCTTAGATCCAGTGGCACTTTAGTTGACATGGGTGGTGATGATGTTCCAGGGCTGTATGTTGAGGTAGGACTGCTAACAGAAGAAGCAGATAGATCTAATGCTCCTATTCTTGAATTTAGTGGAGAATTTAATGATAATTTTCTTGTTCTAACAGGTGAAGATGTCCTAGAGAGAGATAAAGGTGGAGGGGAAGAAAACTTGCGGCAGAGGTGTGGCGACTTTGCATCAGCCATATGTTCTCTATTGTTTTGATTAGTAGCAAAAAACAGTTCCAAAGACCTAGAAAACAAATAAAAAAATGCAGAAGTAATTATACCATATCAGAACTGCCTTTAAAAATACTTTAGAAGAAAATACATATAACCAACATACAATTTGAAAAATCCTAGAAAATGAAACAACCAAGATACAAAACTAACTTCTATAATCTGTGATTTTATTAGGTAAGAAATCCCTATGTATTAGGAAGATCAACCTATCTAGTTAGGATCTAGTTGGTGCTTGTCAAGTATTCAGATCAGCAATAACTCCCCTACTTCTTCTTTTCTTTATACTAGCCAAACCTACGTCCCGCAGCCATTCTTTGTATGTTTTAGTCTCCAAGCCTTGGATCATCTTAGTAGTTCTTTTCTGAATTTTTTCCAAACTCTCAACATCTTTTTCGTGATATGGTGACCAAAACTGGCTGCAGTATTCCAGGTGTGGTCTTACTAAGTTTTTATAAAGCGGTACTAATACCTCGCATGATCTTGATTCTATGCCTCTGTTTATACAATCCAGGATTGTATTAGCTTTTTTGGTTGTTGCTGCACACTGCTGGCTCATAATCAAGTGATCGTCCACTAGGACTCCAAGGTCCCTCTCACAGTTACTGTTTTTAAGCCAGGTCTCGCCCAATCTGTACTTTTACCTTTGATTTTTCCTGCCTAAATGTAAAACGTTGCTTTTCTTTACATTGAAACTCATTTTGTTGGATAGGGCCTATTGTTTAAGTTTGTATAGATCTTTATTTATAGGCAGGGCCATTCTTTGCCAGAGACCTAGTCCAAGATGCCTATCTGGAGAATGTGAGAACAGAACATCCAAACTATCTACTACCTGGCTTTTCTTTTAAAAAAAATACTGCATCATAAAAGTTCTGAATAACACGTAGAAAATTTCCAAAACTACAGATAGTCTTCAATGTACAACCTTTTGTTTAGTAACTGTTTGAAGTTACAACAGCACTGAAAAAAGTGACTTATAACAAGTTTTCACACTTATGACCCTTCCAGCATCCCCATGGTCACATGATCAAAATTCAGTTACTTAATAACTGGTATGTATTTATGGCAATTGCTGTGTCCCGGGGCCATGTGATCCCCCCATTTGTAACTTTCCCAGCTGGTTTCCAACAACTTAATAACTATGGCAAAAAAAACCTCACTTAACAACTTGCTTAATTAGGAAAGGAAATTTGGAGCTCCAAAGTCGATGACTATAGTATTTGTGGATGCAATTTTCTACAAAATAAAATCCAAGACAGAATCTCTTTCTGTCTCAATATATAGGTAGCAGTTCACATATAGTGCTGTGCATGCTTCTTTCTGCATATGGAACAAGCTCATTATGGCTCAGGAATTATGGCTAAATTGATAGGTTAGGCTAAGATAAATTTGGGAGGGGTCTTGTGAAGTGAGTTAGACAAGATTGGTATACTTTTCCACTCTCTGCATTATTTTTATGTCAGCCTATTTACCAGTCTTTCTAATGCCTTCCTTTCCTTTGATCACTACCCTTGAATCAAGCATGGCATACCAAATCCAGTTCATACTTTCCTACTCTGCTCTTTACCTTTCCTTATAGCTGTTGCTGTATGCACTACTATTATGGCTTATTGTTTCCCCACCATTTTCCATTTGGACAGAACATTGTTTATTTTAGGTGAGGCCAAATTCACTTTATTATATCTATGTGTTCAATAGTCATCTTTATATTCTGGAGAACTCACTATTGAGTTAAAGATACCACATAACTTCCCCAGGAGTGGTTGTCCAAATAGGACTGTGTGTCCAATCAAATATAATGGTTTCTGGTTGATCAAAGCTGATTCAGTGTGTGTTGAGTGCATTTGAAAATGTAGGGTATAACCTTCAAAATCTGAGATAAATAAAGGAACAGCCTGTCCACTTGGAAACTGACAACTGAATTAGAGATTTAAATTAACATGCATTGAAGAAGCTAATATGCACATTCTGAAATTTCTTTTGCAAGAAAATTCTCCACAGTAATTCAATCACCTGCTATTGAGGGATTAAGGAATCTTTTAATCCTTTGATTAAACAAACAATCCTTTGTTCTATCAAACCATTAATATATAATGCACTTTACAGGATGACTATTATTACCAAAGTTTCCATAAAAATAATAAAGGTTTGTAAAAGTAGGAAACAACTCACCTGACAGGGATTGAGGTGAAAGGCCGTTTGTAAATATCAGACAGTTTTTCCAGTACAACTGTTGCATTAGTAAATATGCGGTAAGTATGTAGGAAAGTATTAAGAAAATCAATACTGAGAAATCTCAAGTCTGTTAGTCTTTCCAAAAGGCGTTCAACACTTGCATAACGAATCTGTGGTACTTTGCAGGAGTTCAGAGTTTTGCTGAAGCAGATGTCAATGTCATCATTATGAAGACGGGCATCAGACCTACATAACATTATTTGAAAAACATTAAGAATTATTGCATTGAAAGTCAAGTATCATTTTATTGCAGATTGTCTTTGATACAAAGGAACAAATTCTGCTTATTATCTTAAGCAGACACTAATTATACAATCAAAATCATATTTCTGGCCAATGGAATAGTCTCATGGATTCTCTGTGGGCCAAATTTCAATATGAAGACATGAGCACCAATATAGAATAGAATAGAGCTGGAAGGGACCTTGAAGGTCTTCTAGTCCAGCACCGTGCTCAAGTAGGAGAACCTATACCATTTCAGATAAGTGACTGTCTAGTCTCTTCTTATAAACCTTGAGGCCCTTGATTTCTGAAGGCAAGCTGTTCCACTGGTTAATTGTCCTCACTGTTAGGAAGTTTCTCCTTAATTCCAGGTGCTTCTCTCTTTGATTAGTTTCCAACAATTGTTTCTTCTTCTGCCCTCTGCTGCTTTGAAGAATAATTTGACCCCGTTCTTTGTGGCAGACTCTCAAATATTGGAATACTGCTATCATGTCACCCTTATTTCTTCTTTTCTTTAGACTAGCCAAACGCAAGTCCTGCAGCCGTTCTTCATATGTTTTAGTCTCTAGGCCTTGGATCATCTTAGTTGCTCTTCTCTGAACTTTTTCCAAGGTCTCAACATCTTTTTCGTAGTATGGTGACAAAAATTGGTTGCAGGTCTCTCTCACAGTTACTCTTTTTGAGCCAGGTCTCGCCCAATCTGTACTTATACCTTTGGTTTTTCCTGCCTAAATGTAAAACTTTGCTCTTCTCCACATTAAATTTTATTTTGTTGGATAGGGCCCTTTATTCAAGTTTGTCGAGATCTTTTTGGATCCTGATCTTGTCTTCTGGTGTGTTGGCTATTTCTACGAGTTTAGTGTCATCTGCAAATTTGATGAGTTCCCCTTCTATTCCCTCATCTAGGTCATTTATGAAGATACTGAAGAGTACTGGACCTAAGACGGAGGCTTGTGGTACCCCACTGCTTACTTCTCTCTATGTAGATGTAGTACCATTAAGGACTACTAGTTGAGTGTGGTTTGTCAACCAACTACAAATCCAACTGGTGGTGATGTTGTCTAGTCCACATTTTTCTAGCTTACCAAGAAGTAGGTTGTGGTCTACTTTGTCAAATGCCTATTTATCTCTTGTTTTGCCTGAAGCCTTCTAGCCTTGTTGACTTTAAATTCTTTATTTGAAGTCCTTTGAAAAAATATACAAAGAAAAAAATCCTAGCCTTTAACATCATTTTTACTTCCAAAAACTACTGGTTTGTAACGCACTGCTTTCTGCAAATATATCCAACTGGCCAAATAAAAACAAAAGTAAATCAAATTGAAAGCCAAAATCCTGGAATGAGAGCTAATACATGAACATTCTATTATTGGTCACATCTAAAATAGTAGCGATATTGCAGGGTTATTTATGAGATGTACGTGAAATTTTAGCATCCCAGTGACCAGTAAATTGTAAATCTTGGCCCCAGAAAAATCACTTTAAAAGATAGATCAGGGTTGTCAAACTCGCCGCGTCACATACGTGTCACGACATATCGTGACTTCCCCCCCTTGCCTTGGGGTGGGTGCAGCTTCCATGTGACACATCCGGCCTGCAGGCTAGCAGTTTGACACTCCTGAGATAGATAATGATAGATAGATAGATAGATAGATAGATAGATAGATAGATAGATAGATAGATAGATAGATAGATAGATAGATAGATAGATAGATAGATAGATAGATAGAATAATTGACAGACAATACAATGTAACACTTTCCAATGAAATGCAGAATTAACAATACAATTAAATAAAACTGCTAATTTTTATTTAATCTGTATTTGAATTTAAACAAAACTGGACAACCATATGTAACATTAGAATACAATTACACTTACTTGATCATATGTGGCACAGTGACTTTGGAATTTTCTTCAAATACTATTGTCATTAAACCATTGCACCGTATGTTGTCAACACACTACACAAGTTAATAAAAAAAAATAATAGATTCATTTTTGCTCAATACTATATATCTCAGATCCTACAATTACAGAAAATAAAATTTTATCTGGAAAAAATATTTAGTTAGTAGGAAAGATAGAAGGGATTGAACTGCCACATTTTTAACATTTTCAGAATTAAAACTAAACTTTTTATTATTCAAAGTCTCTGAAGTTGCAAATGAGTCAGTGTGCTGCAGAAAATAAAATGTTGGAGCAGAATAAGGAAAACCAAGATTCACATCTATCTTCAACCCCGGAAGTTCATTGGGTGGCTTTGAAGTGAGCTTTATCTCTTGGTCTACCTGGATAAAAGCCTAGAATATCATTGCAGTAAATAAGCAAATGAATGAATGAATATTTGGTTTATTTTAAATATATTTCCCATCTCAAAATGTATCACTCATGGAAACATTGCAAAACCACCAGTTTTAAATTCCTTTTGCATCAGGTCATTCAATCCAAAGGCACTGAAAACAGCAGCTCCTGATTACTGGAAACAATTGATGCCTTGAGACCTCTGAAATAGCAATCTTCCATAGTCATAAGATTAAGTTTCAAAAAGTGACAGTCTGCTGCTACAGATCTTTCCAGGAGCTGTTAGCAATTGGGCAGGCTCAAAACAGATTGGGGAATTAATCAGTTCACTCTACTATCTCTCACAGTTTCTGGACTTTATCCACCACTAGTTCCATTTACTGCTCTGAGGCAATATAATTTCCAGATAAGAATATGAAGGCAACTAGTGGAACTGCTTCAGAGTGTGAGAAAATCATGTGAGGTACTGAACCAAGCTAATGCAACTTTATTTCAATATTAATCTTTCAGGACTTTATTTCTAGGGTGGATTAAGATCAAATTCAAATACCAGCCAAAAATGAGCCCACTAGACTTGAGCCTGGCCCAGCTTCCTCCATCTTAATAATCATCCAGGATGTGTCAAGTCATAGAGAGTCAGGAAATAGGCCTGGCCACAACAATTGAGCTGTTACTGTTGTTCATACATACATAATTGGCCAGTCATGTATTAGTTACAAATGTTAATTTCACTATTTTTTAACTTTAAATATTTGAATATTTTTCAACAGGTGGGTTGGAAATACATGTGTTAATACATTTGAAGTGTGTTTAAAATATGAAAGTGTGCTCAGTCTCTTTTTAAATAGAGTCTTGCAAACAGACTCTTTCTGATCCATTCAAACATACTATGCTTGTGGAAGCAATTGTACAGACTGGCTTGATACAATGTTATGAATCCATTGGAGTCTATACAGAACCATTTGAAAGAGTATTCATTAAGGCATCAAACCCAAAATCTAACAGTAGTGCAACAAGGCATGACAGCTGCCAGCAGAGGCCCAGGTTGGGCTGGAGAATCAATGAAGGAGTGGGAGGGAGTCTTCTGGGAAGCTTGGATTGATGGGATGTTGGATTGCCAGAGAAATGTCGCTGGAGAAGAAGCATGCAGCATGGCATTGTGTTGTTCGTCAGTTAGCTCAACACACAGAGGTTGGTGTCTGGTGATACTCTTTTGAATTTAACTTGGTTGGTGGCTGGGCAAAGCTCAGCTTTAACTGAGTCCCCATCAGAACTGAGTTTCTCCATCTCTGGAACCAGCTTTGAATGCTTTGTATGGACAGGTTGTGAGAGTGACATGGAACTTTGGGTTGCTTTTTGGGAGTGAAACATGAAGGGAGTGATGAAAGAATGTTGAATTGAGAGGATGAGAAGACTTAACCATGAGCCAATGAGAACTCTCAGAGGTTCTGTGATACAGATAACTGGATCTGAGTCCTTCTGGTTGAGGTTCAGGTTTAGGGGACAATTGGGATTGTTGTTGTTGTACTGGCTTTCCTGCTTCACAATATCATCTTTGTCTTAACTAGATTCCAGGCTGATCATAGAGACCCCAAGATTGTTGGCTCTTGGGGACTTAAATTTGCTACCAGATGACATTGAATCAAGAATAGCTCAGGAGTTCATGATCTCTCTAGCAACTAATCACACTTTGGATCTTCTGCTTATTTTCTGCTGCCTCCAAAAACTTGAATATTCTTTGTACAAGTCAGCTTCAGGTGCCTAATTGTAACAGTCTCCCCCCACCTTGCCTAATTGTAACAGTCTCCCCCCACCTGGAGGCTTGTATTCCTCTGGGGTATCCTGAGCAGTTTTTTTTCCCACATCAGACTTCTTTGAATCTGAGCTGGCCACCACAGGTGAGGTCAGCCTCACTTGGTCATATATTCTGTGTTATCAATATGCAGATGATACCTATTGTACATCTAGGCCATCCAAGTGTTGCTGGTGGCGTACTTTCCCAGTCTCTGGAGGCTACACAGGCCTGGATGGAGTTCAATCATAACCAGGTCAAGTGACGTGGGCCAGGACTCAGACACTGACTCTGAAGAAGCTGCTCCAGCTGAATCAGTGGACTGTTAATCTCAGGAGACATCAAGTCATGAATCATTTGAGATTGATCACTTGAGATTGATCAAGAACAGCACCATCAGAACAGCTGGAGAAGTCAGATGATGAAGTAATGATGAAGTATGGCCTCCAAGCCCTTGGACTCAGTGAGAAGACTGCAGACAATAGCAAAGGCATTTACTCAGACTCTTTGCCAAGCAAAGAACTAACTAGTCTAATTAAAGATAGCTGTCTGAAGCCTGATTTAAGCCAAGACCCATGTTTCTATGTTGGAAATAACCATCTGAACTCCTGCTCTGACATGTCGTTCCTGTGAATCCTGCCTGTGTAAAACCCCTGAAACTCTGGCCTTTGGACTAGCTGACAAATGTAACTTAACTCTCTGACCCTACTGGATTTTGATTTCTTTTCTGTATGTTCCTGTTGAAAGTGAAACTACTCATACAAACTTTCTTTCCTAGAGACTCCGTTTTAATTTACATTTCTCTCCTTGTCTGCTGTTATCTACTCAAGCTTGAGCAAATTGCTATTCTCACCTAGCAACTCTGTATGGGTGTGAAATCTGAAACAGCATACTTCATGCCATGGTCACCTCATGATTGGATTACTGCAATGTGCTCTAAATGAGGCTGCCCTTTAAAACTACTGAAAGTAGCAACTGATTCAGAATGTGGTGGCACAAGTAATAATGAGTGTGTCATTGTGAGCTGTACTAACTGCCAGTTGGCTTCCAGGTGCAATTCAAGATGTCGGTGAAATGGGCAAAATGAATAACCTTGCAGAAAAGAAGAAAGAGTGCAACCAATCATCAGATAAATGAAATCTGAGTCTGAGGAAGAACTGTAATCCAAATAAGCATCTCAGACAAGATCCTCCCTAGTTCTTATAAAGGAAGGGGAATGCCATTGATACTTGCAAGATTCTGTTATTGTAACTTTATAATAAATATACATGACTTTGTATTATAAATATACATGACTTTGGTTTCCTACACTAGTCTACTTGAAAGGCTGATGGTTGGTTATTACCTTTAAAGTCCTTGATGGCATAGGGTCTGGTTATTTGAGGGCTTGCCTATTTTCAACAGTGACTACTTATCCAGTAAAGTACATCAAAGTGGCTGCGCTTTGGGACCTGTCAATTAAACAATGTCACCTTTTGGGGCCTAGAAAATGTGACACCTCCTTTCTGGAGTAGCATTGCCTCAGAGCTCCCTGGGCTCTCACTCTGATAATGTTCCAAAAAGCACTGAAAACCTTGCTGTTCTCCTAGGCCAAGGGTGTCAACCTCGCAACGTCACGTGACATGTCGCGATGTATCGCAACTTTTTTTCCATTGCCTGCAATGGGGTGAACGAGGTTCTGGCATGACGCATCCGGCCTGCGGGCCGGCAGTTTGACACCCCCGTCCTAGGCCCTGGGATAGGGTGGTGGGAGAGCCTTTGTAAGATTCTATTATGTTGTTTCACATGGCTTTTCTGGATATACATATTTTATTGTTTTAACTTTTTTATTACATAGAACACACACAACCAAATGGAGTCAGACATTTTTAAATCTATAAAATAAATAAATAATATTTTTCTGCTATTGTTTCAAATACAATAAAATAGTTGGCAGGAAACAATCAACTCTAGTTTGTTTTTTTCAAATTTAGCACACAGAAGGTAAACAAGGATATATAACCATGTGGCCTCAGAGCTTTGCCCTTTAATTTAAGTCCCATTAAATAATGACAAATAAATTTAATCTGCAATTAAAAGTTTAATTGCATAATATACCAATTAGCTGCAATTATAATCCAGTTACAAGTGCATGGAGAAAAAAATGAATGCTGGTTTGTTGGTTTTTCTTTTACTATCAGATAAATTCAGCTCAACTGAGCTGATCTGTAGCAACTAATGTAAGTTTTGCAACTTTAACTGAAAAAAAATATTGTTTTGTAGCAACACCATGAAATATTTATTGGCAGTTATGTGAGTATAATCTGTATTCCATCTATGAACTATTTTTGTACTCAGTTCTTGGCACTTCTGTACAAAATCTTCTATACTATTTAAAATATATAAACATATACAGCATCTACTGCAGTATAATCTTGCATAGTAACCCTTCCAAGCTACTGTCCCATTTTCTTATTTTCATTGCCAAAACCTATTTATTTTTAACTATTTTACAATTAACACAATGAATCCATGCAATCAAGAACATAGACTTGGTACAGTTGTAACATAAGATCAAAAATAAAGGCCATTCCAGAATATCCAGATTTGGCCACTTTCAATTCTCTTCAATCTTCAATTCAATTTTCTTTGGAAACTTTTTCTGTGTGCAGGAACAGTTCCATGCAGGTGAAAATGTGCAGATACAACAGATTTTTAAAGAATTCTGGAAAAGGAAACTAATGACATCTGCATGCAATGACTTTGTGCATAAAAACTAAAGACAGCTTTTTCCAACCTGGTACTCTTCCAACTGAATTGTCAGTCAGCATAGCGATTCACAGTTCTAAGCTAAGCTATTAAATAAAATGAAAACGATCTCTGTGTGAAAACAGTTCATAGGAAAATTGGGGCTTATTTTTTTCATGGTATTTAGAAACCAACTACTGAAACTTAAGAAAGTCTTATTTTATGTTATGTACCTCTTCTATCACTTGCTCTTTATTTAAAAAAATATTTTTTTTAACTCTTAGGCTGGGAAACAGTAGCAACCCAAAGTCACTTAACTGGCTTCACAGATAAATAATGATTTAAATGAAGAATTTTCCACTCCAAACGCAAGACACTAGTTGCTATGACAATGGGGGTGCAGTGGCCTAGTGGGGGCTCAGTGGCCTAGTGGGTAAGATAGTTGGCTTGTCGACTGGAAGGTCGGCATCCCAGGTGATAGGATGAATTCCCATTCCAATGCTGCCAACCTAGCAGTTCTAAAGCATGCAAATGCAAGTAGGTAAATAGGTATCACTTTGGTGGAAAGGCAACAGTGTTCTATGTGCCTCGGTATAGTCATGCTGGCCACATGACCATGGAAGTGTCTTTAGACAATGCTGACTCCCTTGGCTAGGAAACAGAGATGAGCACCACCTCCTAGAGTCAGACATGACTGGACAGGGGAAACCTTTACTTTTACTTGCCACTCATTCACCAACACCGCATTCAAAGCAATTAAACAATTATATTCTGTTAATAATTGATACATTTTATAATGAGCTCCAAGACAACACTAATGTGCTGAATGAATTATGTAGTATTGCCCCTCCCCAAACTGATTACCTGACTAATGTCACTGGTCCATGCTGCTTTTTCCTGCCGCGAAGGGGCTAAAAGGACCACTGTAAATGGAGGTGCACCTGCAGGATCTACCACAATTTTGAAGTCAAGGTGCCCAAATACTTGCCCAGAACTTTTCGCTTCATGGTTGAAAGAGAAACAGAATTTGGCAATTAGAGGTTGAAATGCAGAGCCTAGATTAGATCACAGTGCAGAGACAAGTATTTTCCATAGTGATGTATACATATGGCCAAAATTCAAATTTCAAATTTAGTATCTTTGACGAGTGATATTTTTAAACACTGCAGACTCATGCAAATGTAAAATATTTTTGGCTCACAGAATTTATAATTAAGCAAATGAAAAATTATATTATGTGTTCCAGTTATTCACCTGAGGCAAATATATATATATCTGACTCTATTATGACAATACAGCATTGACTTTTAATTGACAAGACACCTAATTCAGAGCCTACTCTGTGCTAATCATCATAGCAGAGCAAGCAAAATAGAGGTATAAACTGACTAATTTTTATTGGTGGGGAATGGAAGGCTCCACACACTCAGTACTCAGGTGACCCTGAGGACACAGACAAATCTCCAGGTGGCCTTAACGACTCTCTAAAAAATACAAATGACCAGCTGTCTACAAGGAATATAAATCCTTCCATTCCCTGCCATCCAGTCAGATCTGAAGAAGCTTCTTGGATGAGAAGTGAAACGTCTTCAAAGAAAAACAGGAAAGTCCAGTTGCCTCCTGAAAAAGCTCCTTTGGGATTTTGGATTGCCATTGCCTTCTGCCTAAAACTGAGAAATAGTGACTGGTTAAAGTCACCTGGCTGGCTTTGTCCTTAAGGCAGGACTAGAATTCAGAGCCTCTCAGTTTCCAGTCTGGTATAGTGATAAATAAATTAACACATATATACATACAGCTTCGATTTCTTGAATCAGAATTTTTATTAGAAACACTCTTATTTATACTAATTTCATTAAGCAAAAAAAAAAATTAATGCTATTTTTTAAAGAATATTTTACAACTCCATAAAACAATTTGACAGAACTTACATTCATCATCATTCATATCAGTTTCCTCAATCAGTGTGCATTCTATTAGTGAAAGGACGCCTCCTGCCTAGAGACATAAATTGCATTTTTTTTCAGAAATCTATTTCAGCGCTCTTCAGTTTAAAAGTATATAAAAATTATATAATGTAAACTACAATCCATGAACGCAAACCTAGAGTAAACCTCATCCAGTATGTTTCTAAGTGGACAAGGTTCCTCATTGTGTGTGGGGGGGAGAGGGATTGAGAGCTTTCAAGTCAGTTTCAACTCCTGACAACTGACTGGACAAGTCCCTGCATTTTTTCTGGCAATGTTTTCAGAAACGGTTTGCCACTGCTTTCTTCTTAGGTCTCAGAGAGATGAAATGGCTCAAAATCACCTAGCTGGCTTCATGCATACAGGAGGACTAGATTCTATATTGTACATAGTGTAATGCATTATTCCAATCACTAGAAGAGTTTCTTAAATTAAGTAAAGAGAACATTATTATTTCCAGCAAAGAATGTGGAAATGCATGGACCTCCTTTTTCCAATTAAAACAATTCTGTGTTATCCCAGTTCAACTGAAAATAATTTTACTGATAAGATTAATAAAAAACTGCAGTATTTCAATACAGCAGAAGCAATGTTTTGACAAAATAAGCAATATATTTAAATAGGAAATTACAACATATCTGAATGTATTAATATTGCAATTCCAGAAATATTCTGTAATATAAAGCTATACTAGAAATTCTATATTGTATTTAAATGTTCTATAAAGTAATTGAAAAAAACTTGTCAAAACCAGAATGATGTCAGATCCAGCCCTGATGCAGCAAAATCCAATCCTTTATTTGCTTATACCCGATGGACAGAATTTGCCAATGTATAAAAGCAACCTGAATAAATATATCCTGAGAGGAACTAGGGCAGTGATGGCGAACCTTTTAGAGACCGAGTACCCCAAAACCACTCCACCCCCTGCCCTGCCCCCACTCCACCCCCAGCCTGCTCCCCGCTCTGCCCACCCGGCCACTCACTGCCTCCACGGCCCGCAGCAGATTGCCCAGATGGCCCTGCAGTGCCATGGTGGCCACACCCTCTGCCCACACCCTGCAGCAGCATCTGTGCATGATGGGACGTGAGGGCGGAGTCTTGACCTTGCTGTCCGGCTGCCATGTGCTTGGCTGCACTGTTCCGCGCAGCTGCATCCAGTGTGGGCTGCGTGCAGAGAGAGCCACAGGGCTGGGGCGATAGCGCGCATGCCTACAGAGAGGGCTCCGAGTGCCACCTCTGGCACGCATGCCATAGGTTCGCCACCACTGAAGTAGGGTATGGCAGCCTCTTAATGTGGGCTTCTCTCTGATGGAATATACTGCCTCCTTCCTGGGAAAGCTCTGTGCTGCCAATCCTCCCCTCCACATGCACATTCCATCACAAATAATGAAAATACAAAATGTCATATTAAAAGGAGAAAGGTGGTCAGAGAAAAACATTGAGGGAAGAAGCAGAATTTCAATGCCAGGTGGTAATTTCAAATTACCTGCTGGAGGATATTTAGCTTAGGAAGGCACAGATGTGGAAATGCATGATAATCCATCTGATTCTTTAGAAAACATTTTAATTATTTTCTGAACCATACATTCACTTTATAATATTTATTTTAAAAACAATTAAAATAAAGGAAGTTTGGTCTTAGAATTATTCAGATAAAACAAACCATCATATATAAATACAAAAAGTTTCCTTAAACATGTTAAAATTATAATTGGAAGCTCTGATTGCTTGGCAGGCAATAGTGTTGTCTTCTTTTTGCAAAGATTTATATTATTTTACTGCAATTAATCAGAACAGTTATATATTTTATTTTATTATATGTTCTACAATTCACTATTCTAGTCATAATTTTTGTTACAAAAGTATGTACCTTAAGTAGATGCAACTTTCCTCCAGAGCTCCTTGTACAAATTAAAAAGTGCTTTGTAAATAGAAAACATTGCCTTTCTCCTTCTTTTTTCAAAGACAATGATCCCAGGCGAACTTTACTAAGTTTTCCCCTCTCAACTGATGGGACTTGAATAAGAGTTCCTGGTAAGCAGAAAAGCAAATAATACTCTGTAAACTTATAATACACATAAATAATTCTTATTTTTTATGGTTTACAACAAATTCAGCGTCATAGATCTGTAGCCAACTAAATGACAAATTTAGATGACCATATAAATCTTTCCATAAAATATTTGGCTGCAATCGTGAAATCAATTCAAGTTATCAAATGTAATAATGCACAAGATTGTAATATATTCCTTATGCAGAACTATAACATGAGACCCAAGGTCCAGTAAGAAAACTTACCTTGTCCTTTGCTGAGGACGGTTTTCTCTTATAATATATAAAGCTCATTTACCAACCAATGGAAGGACAAAAAACATAATACACCCTCCTCAAAGCATCTTCAACCAACTAATAGTGGCTGAGTATTCTGGGAGTTGTAATGCCAATGTATTTGGAGACCAGCATATTAAAAGAGTGCTAACACACTGTGACTAATTAATACATATTTCTTTTATATATTTCTAAAAGGGTTGTAAGTCTCAAGTTTAACCAGCAATAGAAGCAAAAGCAGAATAGGACTTACTAGTCCTTTCTTTAATTCTGTATTACACTGCATTTTTCTATTTTCAGAATTTATTGGTATTTTGGTACATGCTAGAAATGGTTGTATTTTGGTTTTATAATTGTGTTTTATAATTTGTATTATTATATTTATTTTGTAAACAGATACATTTTATATTTAAATATGAAACAAACTTAAATAAAATAAAGAGGATGGATGGTTAAAGAAAAATCAACATTAATCCCAATTTATTGTCACTATGCTATAAAAAAGGTAATTTGGTTATGTGCAAACACAGATTTATTCCAGGCATTATGTAAAATTCAGATTAACTGAAGATTAAAACCAAGCCTCTCCAATCTAAAACGATGTCCACTATATCACTGTGTTCATATGCTGAGTCAAGGGTCTTCAAATGTGGTTTGCTTGGGTTTAGAGATATACCCATTCATGGATTATTCTAACAGATAAACAAGGCTAATAATGTGTGTTCAACAAACCAAGAATAAAAAATGTAGCTTATGATGCTACAAACCTATCTCTAAAATATTAAATAGATGCAATGACATAATACTTATGTGAGGTTAACTCTAAATGAAATTACTGATATTAAAATATACCTGAGATAAAGTTGAATTATATACTTAACATATTCATTTATTGTAATGTAAATTCCACTGACGTTTGTAGCCCTTTCATCCAAGTTAACCAGGTTTACTTAGAATTGGAAATAGCAATCTTTTAAGTATACAGCACTGAGACATTCTTTTAAATACAGAAAGCAAACACAAACTTGAATTACGAGTATTCTAGGATTTACTTTTTTAACTGGCTGTGAGAAAACAATATTGGTGATTTTCTTTTTGGTAACAACACAGAATTCTAAAAATATGAGTCAATATGAGCAATATAATACACTAAATGTAATTTTGCTATACTATAGTTTATTGAATTTCAAATTTTTAGACAAATAAATAAAACTGACCCAAGACAATACACATCTTTGTGGGATCTATTTAAACAAGATGCTGGATCCCAATAAACACATTCATTCATATGAAGCCAATTGTGAAAGTATTTTAATGTGGACACCAACCATGTAATGTAAAAATATGTTCCTTCTATACAATAGGTCACAATTTGCAAGATACAAACTGATCTTTTAAAGAAGACTCGCTGTAATAGTAAAATTCAGAGGTAAATCTTTTTCATGAACCCCATTTAAATGAGGTCCTTAATGAAACTTGATTCCAAATAAACGTATTTTGATACTTTCCAAGTTATTGTGCATATGTGTGAGAGAGAAAGAGAGAGAAAGGGAAAATAACAGAGGTTACCAGTGTGATTTAATAGTTAAGGTGCTGGACTAGCAGTTGCGAGACCCAGATTCCAGTTTTCCTTTAGTCACAGAAACCATCTGGGTGACTTTGTGTCAGTCAGTCTCTCAGCCCCAGACTAGGAAGTCAAACAAATCTATTTACTAACCCACACTGGATGAATGTAGTAGATTCTACTCCATAACCTTTAATGATTGATTTGGGATTACAGCAATAATAATTATAACATATTGTGTGCATATGCATAGGGACAAAAATAAACAGGCAGTGAATACATATTAATATACTAAAATATAATACAATTAACACACATTAAGAGTCATACACATTAGCATAGTTGTATAAAGATTACCCATGATTAGTGATTTAATAAAGATATTAAATAATATTAGATAATAAAGGTATTAATAAAATTCACTTGCCTTTTTGTAGTCTATGTACAACAGAGCATTTTTAATTTTAAATATTTCAAGCACAATCCCCTCACAAAAATAAAAAAGATCAAGACATCATCAATAAACGTATTTAATTCCATGCTGTCAGAAATATTTCCCAAGAACCCAGTTATCCAAAGCATCTGATAAGGATGCTTTGTAATAAAACCCTGGAAAATGTTTTAAAATAATGACAATGAATCATGTACTTCATCCACGCAACAATGTTGACAGACTTTACTTACCAAGGAAAATAGGTGGGTATGGAATGTTGCAAGTACATCAGATGGTTGAAGAAGAAAAAAGGGCATTAGAAGAATAACTGAAGGATAGTGAAGAAGATGCACTGAAGCTAGTATACCAGGAAGGCCTACTAAGTACAGGAGAGACCAAACTGGCCTACAAGAAAGAGCAAATGAAGAACAGAAAAGAGGCGTGGGAAGACAAAATATTATATGGCCAGTACATTAAAAAAAAATAGCAAGGGAAACAGATAATAACAAGACCTGGCAATGGCTAAGAGCAGGAAAGTTGAATAAAGAGACCAAGGAGTTAATTCTGGATGCACAAGACCAAGCCTTAAAAACAAATGCATATAAAGCGAGAAGTGAGAAGACAGCAACAGATAGCAAGTGCTGCCTTTAAAAAAGAAGCTGAAGAAATAGGGGATCACCAGGCTAGCTGCTGCAACTAGATTGCCCAGACTGACTACAAACAACAGCATGACAAAGTAGCAACAATGGTGCATTGGAAGATTTGCAAGAAATACTATTTGCCTGCAAGAAAGAACTAGTGAATCTATAAAATAAAGAAAGTAATAGAAAATGAATAAGCTAAAGTGCTCTGGGACTTTAGAATTCAGACAGACAGGCACCAGCTATATAGCACCACAGACTTAACAATTGTTGATAAGAAAGACAAAAAAGTCTGGCTAGTGGATGCGGCAATACCTGGAAACAGCAGAATTGAAGAGAAAGAATTGGAGAAAATAACAAAATACAAATGTGTAAATAGAAATAGAATGGCTATGGCAAAAAAAAGAGGTAGAAATAGTAGTAATAGGCCCCCTTGGGTGCAATCCCAAAACAAATGGAGCATCACTTAAACACCATCAGCATTGACAAATTCACCATTAGTCAATTGCAAAAGGCAGCTTTACTTGGAACAGCTTACATTCTTCAATGATATCTGTAACATCATCAAACATCCATATTGGGTCTATGACAAGTTGCCACAGCCAACTCACTGCGGCCAACTCGCCATGGCCAACTCACCACAGCCAACTCGCCACAGCCAACTCGCTGCCAGACAATTCACCATGGCCAACTCGCCATGGGACAACTCGTTGCAAGACAAAAGTTACACTAATATCAAAGAAATGATGAAAAAGAATAATTAAAGAAAGGATGCAAAAGAAAGGACAGAATGAACTGTTAATGGTAAAAATTAAAATAATTTGTAACTTATTTTAAATAATTAAATAGAATTGTTAAATTGTCCCGCAGTGAGTTGTCCCACGGTGAGTTGGCCATAGCGAGTTGTCCTGTGGTGAGTTGGCTGTAGCAAGTTGGTTGTGGCGAGTTGGCTTTGGCAAGTTGGCCATGGCAAGTTGTTCTCAGTGAGTTGGCTGTGGCAAGTTGTCCCATTCCCTCCATATCTGCCTATCCCAGATCCTCTGGAAGGACCCAATAGGTGGACAAAAATATCAAATCCAATCTGAAGATTTAGCTGTCTGTGTGATGAACTTCATATTGTGTGTGTGTGTGTCTGTGTGTCTGTGTGAATAGGCACAAACGTAAACAGCCAGTGAATACATATTAATACACCAAAATATAATATAATACACAGCATTAAGAGTCATATATATTAGCATAGTTCTATAAGGTTTACCCATGATTAGTGGTTTAACATTAATAAAATTCACTTGCCTTTTTGTAGTCTACATACAACAAAATCATTTTTTTAGTTTTTAATATTTCAAGCATAATCCCCTCACAAACATAAAAAAGATCAAGACATCATTAATAAACTTATTTAATTCCATGCTGTCAGAATTATTTCCCAAGAATACAGTTATCCAAAACTGAGTAGGGACACATATGATAATGATGCTTTGTAATAAAACCTTGGAAGATTTTTTTTTTAAATTCATATAGATGTACTGACAAACACTAAAAAAAACTTTGCCAAGTACCACAGGAAAATCTTGATAATATGACCAGATAAAACCTGCAATATTGGCATTTAATTAGAATTGTTTTATTCATATTAGTTGTTCATCTTGTAGAATAAGTTCCTTTTCCACACTTCATAAAAGAAAGTTCTTATCATAAAAATATTAAGTATAAGTGAATGAATCCTAATACTAAAATATACTCTTTTATACCAGTGCCATGACTCAAACTTCTGTTTTATAGCTATTTCATTTTCAAATCATGGACAGAAGATACAAGGAAAACACTGATTTGAAGAATTTACTTTAATACCAACATTTAGAAGTTGTCTGGATGGAAACAAGATTATGTAAAACACTGGCACCTTAACATCAAATTATAGACATCTAAAATTCTTCCGGTCATTCATAGTATCCATAACAAAATCTGTTCTTTTCTTGTATTTATTTTCCTCCTTTCCTACATTCCCTAGCAGAATATACCGTATTAATCTAAATCTATTTTCTATACTATTTCTAGAATTGTTTTCTACTACAATAATATGGAATTTTTATATAAATTTGGAAATCTGTGTTAGCTTTCTGTAGAAATTCTCTTTGAAAAAAAAAGAATCCAATCAAATATATCTATAAAATTTCCTATTTGAGGAAATTCTGCAATGCATTTCCCGCTGGGTAATTTAAACATTTTCTCCATCTCCACTGCCAATGTTACAAACAATGAACTCCTTAGGAACATAGAGACATTAAATCAACAGCTTATATCCGATGTTGGAATCTGTTTTTCAAAGAAAACATTCCATTAGAGATGGGCAAATGGCTTTGGGGTCTCTTAAAGCAAACCATTAGATTGTGGCCGTCATTTCGTTCTATAAAGTACAAACACAAAGCAACCATACATTGCTTCAGCATTTTCTATAGCACAAATGGGATGTGCAATAAATAGGTTACAGTGATTGCTCCTCTCCATGATTTCAGCCAGCCAGATATGTCTTCCTCTAGTATTTCTGTTATTATCTGCTTAAAGTTGTCTTTTAATTCCTTGAAGGAATTCTTTATACTTCTGCTACCACTTCTTTATACGAACAGTATTAGAGTCTCATAAGAAGGAGAATTTGGAGAATTAAGTACACAGTTAGCATATATGATAGCAGTTCACACCACAGTTATGTAAATAATGTTTTAGAACATTTGGTAGACTTCCACAAGGAATACAGAGAGATCTTCCAATTGGCAGAAGTGAGGCAAATCAGAAGATATTTCACACTATGATTTTAAAACTCTGACACTGTAAATGATTTTAATTTAAAAAGAAATCAAATTATATCTGTTTGAGCTGTTCTAGAAGTACAAATGAAAAATGGGAATAACAAACAACTATTTTCATTCCTCACAATCGCTCCACCATTTGACAAAGCTTCAAGTACTTCAAGTTTCTCCTGTGTTTTTGCCCGAATGTTGGCATCATTTGGGATTGCAACATCTATCGGCCAGACAGAATTATTTTCCATGGTGCTGGAGATAATTTCTGGTCCACTGAAGATGATAGTCCGGTTATTGTGTATGTGACTTTCCCATGGGTGCTTTATTATTATAGTGCTGTTTTTCATGTCTCCTGGAAAAAAAACAGCATAGAGGTAGGGCTCAACAGCAGCCCGGAAATTACAAATATATAGATGTGCAGATGTCAAAAACAGGTATTTTGCATCTTATACTTCCCAGTGATGCCAACATAAACTATCGTTTTCAATTTCATTTTTCCTTCATATTCTGCATAATCAATACATGCATGTTAAATTCATTGGTCTTACCTTGTCGTATAAAAGTCTGGCTGGTGTCCAATAATATGTCACAACCTTCTACTATCATTCTTTCTATTGCAAGATTTTTCCGTATATTTTCTGTTTCACTCACTTCATCGTGCATTATTCTATTGTAAATGAGAGGGCAAAAAATCAGTTATCTAGTTATGAATTTGTAAAGAAAGAACAGCTTGGATGAACTTTATGGCCAGCATAAGACTGTCTGTGTGTATTATAACTGAAATTTGTTTGGTCGAAATGGAATGCTATCCTTGACAAAGTTTGTCTATTATCTCCCCTGACTATCACATCATGATCTCCTCCATACCAGCACACTGAATAGTTAATTGCCTCTTTTGTTAGCAATTGCTGTTCCTGTTTTTCAAGCTATTTTACTTTGGAACTTTCCTTAACAAATTTTCCCAACTGGGGAACAATTTAAAACATATTTTTCATTTATTATACCAACATAGGAAGAGGAGTGTCTCTCACTAAACAGCCTTACTAAGTTGTTTACTAGTCTTATAAGAATAGTTTTGGTCAAATATCTATCCCAGTGCTGGCTAAAATTGCAATTCACTTGGGTAGTTGGAAATGCATGTTTTTTAGATTCTTATGCTCTCCAGATCATGCTTTAAGCCGTGGGGAATTTGAGGTCCGGAGTTCTTTCGGACAGATGGATAGACAGATCCCAAGTGTGAGAGAGCAAAAAATATATGACAGGAATCATAGGGAAGTAGGGACAGCCAATAATTTCTTCAGAACCTTCAGCCTTGACCCTGGGCCAAACTGCTAATAATCTTGGTGTAAGGCAAACTCTGGTAAAAGCCCCCCCCCTTTGCATTTTACCACCTAGACTAAAAATTGCAACCCTAGATAGCATACAATCAACAAACAAGTAACCAATAAATTTTAAAAAGCAGTACAATTAAGAATGATAATATAAAGAGCATATAGAATGGCTTTGACAGAGACAGGGAAGATCTGTTACCAAGGCAACAAACAGGTACATATGGCTTAAGCCCATACAAAGATAAAGATTTATGAAAATCTTTATCTAAAGCAGGTCCCCCCCCCCCGGCAATTCACATGAAGATAAAAGAGGGAGAAGAGGATGCACATTCAGAAACTTACTAGTTTCTGTTACTACAGTTATTCTAATGAAAGTACTTTTACATGGCATCTGTTTCTTGATCTGGTCTACCTTGTAGGGCTGATATACAATAATATACAATAATATACAATTCTGATTCAGGTGGATTTCAGTGTCCACATCTAGGGGCAGGACAGTCTGGGAAAGTTTAGTTCATGACCTCTTTTGCAACTATGGGCATATGCCAGGCAATGTTAAGTTTAAATCAAACATTTTGATTTTCTTTCCAACTCAAAGCACTTGGCTTGTTATTTGAAAAAAAGATGACATTCTAATTTTGTCATGGTCAGATCACTTTCTGTATAGCTCCTCCCAGTCATATCGGAGGCCTGATTGAGACAGCATGTCCAGATACCTTTGGGATCCAGATGGATTCCAATAGGCACTTATCGGTTTTTACAGCAATCTGGCAGGTAGTTCCATGAAATGCTACTTTTAAATCTGGAATTCAGAGGCAACCAGGGTCATACATGTGATTGTCCTCAGCAGTTTTACTGAAAAGGTCCAGGAGATGAAATGGCAGGATAAATGCCTAGCCTGCCAGTGGAAGAAGATCCCAATAAATCTGACTGAATATCTGTAAGAGCTCACATTCAACTCTACACATTGGCAGTAAAAGCTTCAAAGCTTTAGTAACCTCTGCTCTTACTGCATTGATGGGATATACTGTACCCTCATGGTCTACTTTAAAGTTACCCGCTTCTAGTTGAGGGAAAGTAGACAAAATGATTCTGTCCCCCAAGCTGTTGTTCAATCTTCATCTTGTGTCCATCTTTCTATTTGGGGGTAAAGTAATTGTCAAGGAAGTGGCATGTCAGCTGCAATGTATCCCAGAAAAAGTAAATTGTTTGAATCCCTTTCAGTTTGGTTCAGACGTGGGCACAGGATGAAACTTGAACTGATCCATCTTGTAGAGCTTTTTGTCATGGCCTAGATAGGAATGCAGCCCTCTCTTGTTACTTTTTCTTGGTGGTATGCAATACCCTCCATCAGGTTCTATATTTAGGCAAGAAAAACCAAATGCACAGTTATAGTATAGGTGATTCCTTGCTCAATAGTAGCAACTGTGAGAGGGATCTCAGAGTCTTAATGGACAATCACTTAAATATGAGCCAGCAGTGTGCTGCAGCTGCCAAAAAAGCCAACACAGTGCTAGGCTGCATTAACCAGAGGGATAGAATAAAGATCACGTGAAGTGTTAATACCACTTTACAATGCCGTGGTAAGGCCACACTTGTATTACTGTATCCAGCTTTGGTCACCACGCTGTAAAAAAGATGTTAAGACTCTAGAAAGAGTACAGAGAATAGCAACAAAGATGATTAGGGGACTGGATGCTAAAACATATAAGGAACGGTTGCTGGGATTGGGTACGTCTAGTTTAATGAAGAGAAGAACAAGGGGGGACATGATAGCAGTATTCCAATATCTCAGGGGCTGCCACAAAGAAGAGGGAGTCAAGCTATTCTCCAAAGCGCCTGAAGGCAGAACAAGAAGCAACGGATGGAAACTAATCAAGGATAGAAGCAATCTAGAACTAAGGAGAAACTTCCTGACAGTTAGAACAATTAACCAGTGGAACAACCTGCCTCCAGAAACAATGAATGCTTCAACACTGGAAGTTTTTAAGAAGAGACTGGACAGCCATTTATCTGTAATGGTATAGGGTTTCCTGCCTGAGCAGGGGGTTGGACTAGATGACCTCCAAGGTCCCTTCCAACGTTATTATTATTATTATTATGGTATACTTCCGGATTACCTACAAGGTTCAGAGAGACTGATTTGCCATGTTTCTACCCCTTCCTAAGTGGGCCATTCCAGACAGGGATGAAAGAGAGGTCAAATCAGTGAATGTTCTGTTATGGTATCCCCTTGCTTTTCATTATTTATCTGAAATTGCTAGGAAAGATCATCCGTTGGTTAGGATGAACCAATATATCTTAAGTATATTGAAGACACTGAATTATACAGTTCCAAGCTGAGATGGAGATATTGACCTGTGTGAATATGGATGTGATAAAATTAATTTAAATTGAACGGTGGGGAGACTAAGTTCTTTTTTTCCAAAACTATCTGATTTTAATTATTGAAGGCTGTAAGCTGGATTACTACAATGTTCTTTACATGTGACATGAGCTTTTAAGGACTACTTGGAAACTATAATTAGTGAAAGATGTAACAGTCCACTTCTCAATGGGTAACAATCATATAACTATACTTCACTAGGCCTGTAGGCCTGATTTGGGTACATTTCAAATGCTAATTTAATCTATAAAGCTTTCATGACTCTCCAGAAATGCCTCTTTGAAGAAAAACCAACCTGCCCTATAAGTTCATTCCATAAGCTAATATTTAAAGTTCCTCCTACTTGAGATATTCAAGGGAATGGGAACAGGGTTTCTCTACTGCAGTTCCTTCAATTTCAAATATTCTCCTCCCAGAAGGTCAGTTGGTATATTTCCCCAATGGAGAGCTATTAAGAGTGCTGTTTTGCAGAGTCTTTAACCTGGAATAGTCTCCAGTGGGATTCAGCACCAGTAGGAACTGTTTAGATATACTGTTGAATTTGTTTTGATTGTTGTGTCTTTATAGATATTACTTTGAGCTACTAGTCTTTTGGAGCCTGGCATTATAAAAACATAATAAATAAAATATACAAGTGCAATTTTAAAAAAAATATTATCTGATTTTACATATTATAACTTCTGTTCTAGATGTATATATTGAGAACAAAAAGCAATCAAACCTTGAAAGTTCTTCCAGTTTAGATTTAGCAAACTCAAGGCTTTTCCTTTCCACGTGTTCATGTGGTGTATGAGCTAGAAGTTCATGAAGGGTGATAATATATCTAGGAATCTAAAGGATTGAAAATATTGATCAGTAATGCTTTTTAAATGTATAATTAATTATAACATATGTTTTCTATCTTGGATTTTCTTACAGTACAATACAATACAATCTAAAAAATAGCATTTACTATTTCAGAAATCAGAAAATAGAATTATAGAGTAGGAAGGGGTCATTGAGGTCACTGAATTCTTGGCTCAGCACAGGAGTCTTCAGAGTCCAAAAAATTACTTTAAAATAGCAATACTAATTCAGTGAGAGTAATATGAACATAGCATGCATCTGTTTCTGATGATAGCTAAACCTTAAATTGAATCTGTTTTTTTCCCCAAAGTCATCCAAAGTGAAACAGATTAATCTTTAATCTTTGACCTGGCTTCAGATATGTGTGGAGTATCAGGGCAGCTATTAAAGCTCTAATAAGCTGCTTTAGGGGAGTTGCTGCTTTCATTAACTATGCCGAGGGCAGCTGTCACATAGAAAAATAAAAGTTGCTTCACTTAAATTGCTGGGGGGGGAAGGGAAGGCTATTCTCCAATGAAATTGTAGTGACAGGTTTTCTTGACAGGGACGAACTCCCTCCATCCCAGCTGTTTTCAACAAAATAAACCTTTATTTTTCTCCTCCTAAGTGATTATTTGACAGCTGTCACTGTTAGTCTTAAAGTCCATGCTAGGACTTTGGCAGTATATTTTTCATGAGCTAGTAACAGTAGCTGTCATATAATTATTTGAAGTGGAATAATCTATAGCTGCAGAAAGCCACAGCAAGTTCTGAAAGCATGCTGCAATGGGCACACTATATCAGCAGAAGTATTTTGAAAGCTTTTTGTCCAACCAAGGTGCTATCCAGGACCAGTTTACATATTTCTCTTACAGTATTTGGGCTTAACAATCCTTTTTAACCCGAGCACCATGGCATCAACAGCACACATAGCTGATGCAGTCTTCATTCTCTAAGAGGATTGTGACTTCTATGCATACTTAGATGTGCTTGGGTATCATTCCTGCAGTTTTATAGTGCCATTTGGGTATCCTCCCAAATATTTTAATTTTCATAGATAAAAACTGACTATAATGTAAAAATACATCACTGCAAATTTATGATTAAAAAATAATAAACAATACAATACTAATGCCTGTGAAATATCTTACAAAATATTGTAATACAGTATCTCTCGTGATTGAATAAAATACAAAGACTTATGCTACAGCAATTTTCTTCAGTTTAGTGAGTCCAGGTTAGCCACTCTTTCAAACAACATCATTTGGGAAAGATTATTTGACAGCAAAAGTCATAATAAAAATGATGCAAGCAATAAAATTACCTGAAACATAGGGTAGGTAAGGAATGTTTCAAGCATTCTGCCTTCACATGCAGTGTTGGATTCATATTGCTTTAAGAGTTTGTCAAAATCTCTGTTCTGCTTGCAGTTTGCCAGCACCTGTAGGCTATACTGGTGATTTCTAACAAATTCTTGATATATATTCAGCATTGGTAAAAGAATATCAAATAAATCAGCTACAAAGACAAAAAGATTTTTGCAGTCATTCTTTTTCCTTCACAGAAATAAAAAGTTTAAACCAAATTAATTCCATTTGTAGCATTGTATAATTACAGGTGTTAAAAAGGAAGGCAACTTTATTAAAATTTCCTCTAATACTGTCACAATTTGACCGCTCAGGAGTTCTTCCAGAACTTTTAAGTAATTGATACAGTTTATCTATATTAATAAATTTAACATGAAGGCTCTTTGTAAGTGTATCTCATGCTAGGACAGAGCTTCAAATGACAGGAAAATCACATTTGTCTTATTTCTGCCAGTAATATAATTATTTTTTTAAAAAAACCAAATTTCTGACTGAAGAAAAAAAAGCTGTAAACTTTATATCACAGTAATGAAATACAGTGCATCTTCCTAACATAGTTACACCTTTTGGAACAAAGAATACACAGGTAGACGCTGCAAGTTTCTAAATTTATTTAACAGGGCAAATAAAAAATAAAACAACTTACTGAAAGGAAACTTTAAAAAAAAACTTAACTTTCAAATAAAAAATGTAATACTACTCTTTAAACACAGAAACCAACACACAATATTACCTAAAATTAAGGTAGGCCAGTTTGCTATTCTTGCTTTTAATCCTTGATGAAATATTTCATGAAGGAACATTATAGTTTCACTGGAGAGAAATAAGAGTTGACAAAATAAAACAAAAATTAAAAATCTGTGTAAAATATATTATTTGAAATTATCAGTACATATCATGAAATGAGTATCAAACAGGCTATTGCCACCCCAAAACCTTTGAGATGCAGTGAGTTAGAACTTTAAAAATATATAAAATTACAGAGTATTTGTTCATAGTTTTGAAATAATAAACAATATTTTTATTTAACTATATTTACTTAAAGAATTTATACAGCTGCCAAACTTGGACATTAACTCTGGACGGTTTACAAAAGAAAAAAGATTAAATACACCATAAACAGAATCAACAAGAAGAAATCTGTGCAGAGTTCTAATTTAGGCACAAAATGAGGATGGTTATCAAGTTGCATCTGTATCTCTTTTAATAGTGGTAGGCAGAATATCCCCAGATTGGCATTCTGTGAATGGGGAGTGACAATTTTGGACCCACTAAATTCTAAGCCAATCTGATCAGTTGAATGTTGCGAATACATGCACATCAGCTACACAAAACTCCCAAATCTAAGTTATATAAAGAGCTGAAAGTGAAACTAAAACACCTAGATTTGCTAGGCTGAGAAGCCCAGCAGAAGTTTATCTTCTTGCAGCTTCTATCCTAATTGGTATGATCAGCAAAGATATCAAAGAGTCCGTAGATGCACCATTTGACTTTGATTCAGCCATTTGGATTATCTGTCCACTAGTTTTATAATATTCAAGGCCATATGTTATTCAATTTAATCTTGAAACTATCAACATAAATCAGTTTTCCATTTTGTTCCAATGAAGCTACTGCAATTAGGGGTGAAAAACTGGAATTCATCTAGTCTTCCCCTGCAACCCAAAAGAGAAAGGAAGTAAGAGTTTTCAATGTCAAAATTCTAAAAATTAAATGCAGTCATGTGCTACACATTGTACAGATTTTTAATACTATAAATGAAAGTCAGGCAGACAGATAGAAAACAATTTCATGCAATCATATTGGAATGAGTTTTTTAAAATGTATCCAATAATACCTGTTGAGGAAGATGCTGCTAACATCATCATGACTAATAGGTGGTTTCTTTGAACTTGCAGCCATTCTTAAGGGCCTTAGAAAACAATTCACAAGGATATAAAGTTGATGCACATATTCAGATTCTGCCTCAACCATGTTGAAAACTATTTGGTTTCTTTTTCGCATACTTTCTGCATGTGGAGAACAAATATAATCTTGAACAATTGTCTTCCATTTTCTTCTACACAACCAACCACGCATAAAGCTCTGAACCTAAAGAGTGAATTTAAAAGAAAATAAAATTTTATTACGGTCACAGACCAGCATTACAAATAAAAGCATTAAAAACAACAATAATAGTAAAAAATAAAGACAGAATAATATATTGTGATTGGTAGTGGATTAACTGTGGGCAGTTAAAGTTTGCCTAATAACAGAATTTGGCCACCTTCAGAGAAACTACTTCATACTGATCTGATTTTTAAAAAAACATTTTAATGGTCTTTGAAATGCATATATATCCCCTTCAAACATATGTACTGATATATCAATGTTTCAAGAAAGGAAGACAAACCATGTTTCCTTGCAATTTATGATTCAACAGCTAAAAACAACAGACTTTGGACAAAACTTTATAAATATGATTGAAACAATATACTGTAAACAAACAGCAAAAGTGATTCTAAACGGAGACTATACAGAGAACTTTGAGATAAGAAATGGTAGAAGACAAGGATGTCCACTATCTCCGTTGTTATTTATCCTATGTTTTTATTGAATTTGAAAATGGAAAATGAACAAGTTAAAGAAATAATGATAAAATGGGCAAAGAATTTTGGATATAACATAGATTTAGAAAAATGGCAAAACTTGTGGGAAAGAAATTATAGATTGACAATGTCAACTTCTTATAAAGAAACCCTATATAAAATGTTTTATAGATGGCACTTGCCACCAGCAAGGTTAGCAAAAATGTTTAAAAATATGTCAGATAGATGTTGGAAATGTAAACATAAGTCAGGTACTTATTATCATGTATGGCGGACATGTGTTAAACCAAAGAGGTACTGGACAAAAATATCTACTTGGCTAGAAAAGATGTTGGGATAGCATGTAGATTTTAAACCTGAACTTTTTTTACTAGGTATAATGCCAGAAAAGATTGATAAACAAAGTATATACTTGATTTTACATGTGATAACAGTGGCAAGAATCATATTCGCACAATATTGGAAAAATGAAGAAATACCACCAGAGAAAGAAATAATTTAAAAAATACTAGAATGTGCGGAAATGGACAGACTTACTATGAGGTTGAAAGAAAAAGAAGAAACAGAATACTTTCAAATTTGGGACTTATTTTATCAATGGCTGGAGAAAAGAATAAAGGTTTAGGAATTAAATTTGTATTAGTGAATGATAAATTCAGACAACACGTTTGTTGAATAAATACTACTGAATTGTATTAAAAAAATTAATAAAATCTACAAAAGAAAAAAGAAAAGTAAGGAAGACAAACATGCCTGCAAAAAGAAAGCGGCAACTACTCTTCCACTTATTCTAGAGCATGCTTAGAAAAACCAGAATACTTTAACTGATCTTAGAATATTTGGCATTGTAGATTGGCTCAGAAAACAGAGACTATGTAGAGGAATTAGCATGCTTGCTTTAAGTAGAGCAAAAATGTATTTATGAGAGTCACATCTGAATAACAGAACTAAATTGAACAAGTTCAACAAGCCATTCTTCACATTTGCTTTGGAGGATATGTAATGTAACATAAAAGAAAGTGAACAATCAGCAACCTATTAAAACAGCCATGCCTGCTTCCTAGATAAGGATACAGCTACTTTAATGAGTTTTCATGCATTTTAGAATACTTGAACACTCAATCCCAAACTCTGCATAGGCTTCTACTTAATATTCCATTTTTACCAACATCTCACTTTTAATATCAACTGTAAGGAAAACAATAACTTAGGTCTATACAATAAATTGTATTGATTTAATTGAAAATTAACTGTAGAGGACTAATGTGGCGTAACAGTTAAGTCAATGGATTTGAGCTAGAAAGATTCAGATTCAATATCCTAGTGTTTAGTTGGTGACTTTGCACAAGTCATTCTCTGATGACAACCCAAGGATGTTGGAAACTTTAGGAATAAAATGAGGAGTGAATTGATCCATGCACACTACCCTGAGTTCCCAGAGAAGACAGGATATAAATACATCCAGTAAATAATAAATAATAACTGACACACCTAATGCCTTTATTCATGATTAAGCAGTGTAAAACAAACAAAGTATTTTCTATCCAATGCATGTGTCAACATGCCATAGATATATAAACCTAATGTAAAATGTAAAAAAGAAAAAAAATCCTGCTAATAATAGGACCTACTGCCTCAAGTGTCATTTTCATCCATAATTGTATGTTTATAGAGCACTTCAATAATAATGCACTGTTAGCTATATAAACTTTTAATTTTTTCTTCCCTTTTTTCTCTTTTCCCTCTTGCAGCACCAGGGTAGCAACTATTATTATTATTGTTGTTGTTGTTATCCTCCCCTTAAAAGACGTTCATCTCAAACTTATTTTTTTTCAGTAATAGCTTATTTCAAAAGCTTAAAAATACAATAGTCAGAATTTTTTTCTTTATAATTGTTTTCACAGAGTACTTTGATACATGACTTTTTGTCATGTGGACCTTATTAATATCACTGTCTCTTTCACCAAACAGTTCATCAAGATAATTAGCTGTTCTGGAACACTTACTAAATGTTATGCTGCTCAGTTCAAATGAATATATATTCTCCTTAAATTGAAAGAAAAAAATAGGAAATGTTATCACTTCACAATCTAAATGGAGTGGAAAAGTGGGAAAGTACCTTTTTAATCTTTTTAATATCTGGATCTTCTTCTTCTTGATTGCCTTGATATGGTCTCATTCGTTCTTTTGTTTTATTGAGAGCTACAATCTGGCAAAAACAACAAACAAAAATGTAAAATCTTAAAGTTTTTGACAGATTTCAGAATATCACATGACATTTTGAAGATGTAATTTCAAGCCCCTGGAACTCTGAATAGTAACATCTCACTGGTTTTATAAACTTTCAATATCTGAAAAAGGACTATATAAATTAACACCCAGCTAGGCAAAGGGATATATTTTATGTTCCATTAGCTGAAAGATATAATGACCCATAGCAGAATCTTTCAATTATATTACTCCCATGAGAATTTTTTCAGGTTAAGACCAGGTAATATGCATTATACAAAACATATAAGGTCCAACAACTGTTTGATCTTAAAGTCATAAATTTTCTTGTACTTGAACCTAAAAAAGCAGGATTGTTATTAAAGCAGATTGTCACAGTTTGCTTTTAGATTGCCCAGGTTAGAATAACAAGCAAAGCAATCCATTGTAGAAAAAAGACAACCATTCCAAATAACATTCACAAACAACCTTGCAAAACTAATAAAATGATTAATAAACTTAAAACAACAAAATAGAAAGGTAATAAGTTTCATATTCAGGTGTTACTCCTAGCCAAAGTTTCATTATAATTATAATTAATGACACTTTTGCCATTGACTGAAAAGGAAGCCAGACTATGAATTAGACAGCAGTAGCATCACAATAAGAATGAATTTTGAACTATACCTCTGATTTAAGCCTTTCAATTTCTGTGTCTTGATCTTCAAGCTGATGACGTAGCTGATTTGCTGAAATCTTTTCTGTCTCTACAATTTGAACTAGATGGATATATTTTTGCATTAATACTTCCCTCTCAATCAGGATATCTGAATAGCTACAAGTTGAAAAAAAATAATGAAAATGTTTGTTAGAAATTATATAGGCAACATAGTTAAGCAAATACTAGGTTCCATTATTCTTAGTAAATAAATTAGTAAGTATATTCCCACATATTTTTATGTTTTACAACCTATGCATAAATCTTTCCAGGAATATTTAAATCTACAAGGCTGAGAAAAAGAGCTTTATTGGTAATATTGATGTTAAGATACTCTTTATGTTTATCAAAACATAATTTATTCCATTAGGTGGTTTTCAACCAGTAAACTTCCTATTATTTTATATAAATTGTAGCTACTCTATACATTCACAGGGATTTTACATTGGTTTCTCTAGTATAAAATCAGTATTTAATTTAGGGATACATAAAGGAAACAGTTTTTAATAAATCCATTGTTAATTTCAATAAATATTGTAATATAATGTGCTATGAAATGCATGCTTTATGTAACTGATATTATACAATAGAAGTATCAAAGGTCCTTTGTAAGACACTGGTCTTAGAAAAACTGATTTTTCTTTGGTCATAGCAATTTGACATATATTCGTCTCAAGGTATAAAGCTAATCAGTATGGAAATGCTTTGTTTGGCTTTGGGACAAGTGTGAATTTTAAAAACTGTAGTATTGAGTGATACCACCTTCCAAAGAGGCATTTTATTCCCAGTTCCTGGCGACTGGTTTGACAATAAAAGGTTTACTCCACCTCTTCTAGTTATAAAGTAGGACTTCTTCTGCATTGCAGGAAATGCTCTTTCAGTCTTGTACTCTGTGCATTTGGAAAAGTAATAGCCATCTTCCCAGGTTCTGAGACAACAGTTAAGCAAAAGAGCCTTCTGGCAGCTCTCTACAAGCAGGAAGACAGCCAAGATAGCCACAGAGAAAGTGGCAAGGGAAATTGATGAAAGAAATGCCAGGGAATGAGTCTGGCCAGCCTGTTCAAAAACCAAAGTCATTCAGGGAAAGGGTAGCCTTCAGATGAGAAGAAAAAGTGAATCAGCCAATGAGAGTGCAATAAGTTCAATGGCAGGTAAATCTACCTTCTCCCTTTTTTTGAAGTGGGTGACACTGGGTGACAACAGACGCAACCAACTATAGAGAGAAACCAGAAAGAACAGCACTCAAGTCACTAAGTCTTTATCAAGAATACACTTTTTTAATAAATATTTTATTAATTTTATAGTTTTACAATCAAATACTTAATAGACATTAGTAATTCAGTGGTATATATTAGCTTCTTCAGTCTAGATCCAATATTACACCATCAAATGTTTCCTCTCTTCTTCCAATAGTACTTGTTTTCCCACACTAGGCAAATACAATTCTTATTGTTATTAATAAATATATAATTGAGTATCAACATTTTTGTTACATTTTTCTCATAATATCAATAATGTCATTTTAGATAACGTTTCTAACCAACACATATCTTAATATCCATATATTCAATCAGTATCCTGTTTTTGCTTTTTTTAATTTTAATTTCTCATCAGTGTTCAAAATGTCTCTATTGTTTAATTTCAAAGTAAGTTATCTTTAGGTAATCAAAAGCTTCTCTTATTCAAACTTCTTAGCATTTTCCTGTTTTCCTTCTCATACTAAAATCTAATATTCTAATTACAAATCTTATCTTTCTAGTTATGATAATACTATTTCTAGCAATTATCTATTCTTCACCATATTCAAACATCTAGTAATAATATAATATCCCATCTAATGGGTCAAAACCTCTATTTTCTTCAGTCTTTCTAGCTTTCTTCCTTTGCCAACTAACTTTCCAAGTCAATGCATTTGAGTCATCAAGTAATTTTTCCTCTGTTTTTGTGTATATTGTTTGGACTAAGAAAAACCATTTGATTAAAGTATTTTTGGAAGAACAAATCCATTGATATTCACTGAACAGCCTCCCTTCTTCTCCTAACAGTTCTTTTAACAGCTCTATGTTACATTCAATCAATTTTTCTTCCTTTTCCTCAAATGTGTTCTGAATTCTTGATTGGTAAGATGTCTTTTCCATTTCCGATATCATCACTCCATCTTCTAATTCTTCAGGTGTCTGAATCTGTCAGTTAGTTCCTTCCATTAGGTTCTCCATCTTTGGATCTGCTTCCTCAATTTTTTTTTCTATTTTCTGGGTTGCTAGTTCCTTCTTTGTAGTCATATTCTGGGTTTGTAAATTTAGATTAGAAAGTTGTTCTTTTATCTCCTTTGTGTTATTTCTAGTCTCATCACCCTCTCTCTTTGTGGAGGGTGCTTTGAGCAATTTTTTCCAGGAAGAAGTCTTTAAGAGTCATAAAGAAAGCATAAGATCTCACCCAGTTTCATCCACGTTGCTGAAAGGTTGCTTGTTAGTGCTTATTGTTTTCCGTTGTCATCAGCTTCTGACTGGCTACCCCACCAGTTTGGAGGGCTTCCTCAGAGCAAACGGAAGGGCCACCACCCTCCCACAATCAATGAGGGTCTCCTCCTTGCTTGTCGCCTCTATGGGGCGACTTTCAACCTTTTCCAGGGTCCCCAGCGAGGCAAAATCAAACACAAAAGACGAAGCCCCGTCTTCCTGCACCCATTGTTCATGACGTCAAACCGGAAGCCCAAGAATACACTTTTTGAGTCTCCTTCTACTCCACTGCTACTGAATAGCAATGATCTCTGGAGGATAAGATTTGTCAATTCATGTAAGCTATACCTTACATGTACAGCCAGTTCCCTCCCAATTCTAAAGCAGAATTATATGTACTCTTAAACTATGCTGGGATGAGGTACCTTCCTTTTTACAGGAAAGCAGCTATTTTCAATTCCAGGCTTCTGTAAAGCCTATTTATCCTGTCTAGTCACAAGCAGAATGAGAGGTCAATGGAGCAAGGAGAAGGCTACAATTCTAACAGTCTTCAGACTAAGCAACCTGGAAGGCTCTATTTTCTATGGGAAGCAAGACAGAAACCATATTCTATAGGGCTGCATCAGGAAAGGAATAACTCTCAGTTAATAACATTATGCATTTTGCATTTTGTCATGAATTAGATACACCGAAATTTTTTTAGCTGTCTGTGATTACAATAACAAACAGAAGAATGTTTTCTTTTAATTTATACCATATGTCTTATTTTGTTCCAAGAAAAAGATACCTTTCGTAAAACCCCACAAATAAAAGCAGTAAGTTACAATAAAAAATCAAGATAATAAAGGATTCTAGCCAGACATATGTCTGAGAGTTCAGAGAAATATTTACAACCAAGAAGAGCCAGTACTAGAACTTAACAAGATTTTCAATTGGGTGATTGCTGAAAGTTTCACAGGAGAAAGTACAAATGTGTCTTTCCTAGTCAACTCCTTCACTAAACATGTAATTTTGAAGTAAGAAATTCCCTCTCAATCTTCTCATATTATCTGAAAAACCATAAATTCTAAATTCAGCATTAGCAAATAATTTACCAAATTTATAGACAGGTGCAATCCTAAAGGACTTTTGATGGCAGATAAAATACACAAAATATCTACCATAGAATAAAAGAAAAACACAGAATGCAAAATATATAGCAAAGCCAATTTATAAACCCTACCAAATGCTCTCCAGAAGGGCTGTTTCCAGCTGCTTCTCTGATATCCAATGTAAGGTCCTCCTCTTAACTCCTCAGAAGGGGAACCAAAGCAACTACTTCCAGTTACATCAGATTTCTATCATGATGCCACTGAGGCAGAGATCAAACTATAAGTAAGCATCTTCTTTTAGAGAATGTATTTTAATGTCATGGTGTTATCAGAGTGGGTTGGTAACTTATTTCAGACTGTTTTTCAAAATATCTGAAGCTTTAATGGATAACAAAACGCCTTAAGGCATCCATTTTGTCTTTTTCTCAATGAGAAAATCCAGCCATAAAGGGGGGGGGGAATTATATGTATATTTTAAGGGGTGGAAAATTCCAGGGGTACTAATGGGGACTACAAAATGAATGCTGCAAGGCCACATTTGGCCCAGAAGTTGCTTCCTCTTGTTTGTTTATTATATTTATTCACCTCTTGTTTGTTTATTATATTTTTCACCAATTTCACGGTTCGAGGTTACTTGACATCATTAAAAAATGGTCTACATATGTACATTCAGCAATAATTCTCCATGTTACTTTACTGTAACATGAATATATAATATAAAAGTGACTCAAGCTGCTGCTCCTATCTCAGAAGATATGATTATCCATACAGACAAAATAGATGACTCATGCTAGGTTACTCCTACAGACCTGTGTATCAGGTATAGTGAACAAATGTGACAAAACAAGGTAAAGAGGGATTTTGGATAGTTATGAATGATGTAGAAATGAACATAATGGCTTAAACTTTTCATGTTCTGCATTATAAGAGAAGGAGGCAAAGCAGGAGCTGGTAATGGTGAAGAAATCTCCAGGACGGAGGGAAAAAAGGAAAGAAAGAAGACATTGCCTCTTAACCAAATCAAATTATTAGTAGCTAGTATTGGAATTTCATACCTGGCTTGCTGAATAGCCTCCACCCACTCTTCTCCATCTGCTTCTTCCTCACAACGGAGCTCAAGAGGCTTCTGCCCTTCATGGCCAAAGAGGACTGTGAAATAATACTGCAAATAGTTTTAAAAAGGTTTAAATGTAGTAATGTAATGTCATATAATAAATTCAATAAAATTAAAATGTAAATATTAACTAAATAGTATAATCAGTACATACAATGAACCCCTGCTTTCTCACAATTCATAGGGTTTTTTCTTGGTGAAACAGATTTCTGAAATGAACAGATCCTCTATTCAGGAAAAGAATTTGGCTTCCGAAACACACCTCAAGTTTGTAGAACACTCTCTTCACATCTATTCTAAACACATTACATTGCCATTCTTAGGCTTCAGCACTAAAATTACCACAATGCTGCAGTTACCTGTATGTCATCATCAGAAAAGATGTTTTAAGCCAAACCATCTTTGATATCTCAGCAGCCTAGCATTATGGCTTAGTTAGCTTGTACCTCCTGACTCCTTTTATAACTGAACATAGCTTTTGAGCCACTCCTCAGGCTTGCTATATTGCTTGAATAAATGAGAGAGAAAAATAATAGTTTTCTGGTGGATTTGTATCCCATGTAGAACAATGGCAATAATTCAATAGGGAAGGGAATAAGGCACGAGTGACTGAGCAGAACTTTCTAATCCAGGAACAGGCATAACTGACGCACAGCTTAAAGCTGTCTGAAGATGTCCTAGCAAAGGCTGCCACCATTACTGTTTCTAATGGTGAATAAGTCATACAGCTATCATGGCTGGTAGCTTGTCTATCTACCTACTTACTTACCTACCCTTATTTATATGGCCATCCATTTCAAACATATAACTGTGTGTATTACAGCAACTAAAAACAATGTAAGAACAAACAAAAACTTACACAAGCTTCTTATGTCCCATAATTCTGTCTATTACTCTTGCAACACTGCCTATACTGATAGAGCAAATAGCATGATTTAACTATAGATGGCAAGGAAAATTATTTCTGGTCTATCCAAATTTCCTTCATAAAGCATCTTATTAAATAAGCTAAAGGAATAAAATCAAGTTCAGTAAAAAAAAAACCAATAGGAAAAGCATTTGTGGACAAATAACAAGGCTGGGTGATGTTTCCTTAGGCTCAAATACTAGAACCAAAAGCCAGGTATTCACTTAGCAATGAAAGCAGACAAAGCTGGTACCAGTGGCCTCTGTGGGAAAGGAATTCCAAGATCAGCATTAAGTCTGGTCTCTTGGGAAAGAATTATAGAACAGAAAAGGTAATGCTTTCATGTTCCCATATAAAGTGCTTCTCCTAGTTATGGGATGTCAAAGAGCGCATACATGTCACAGACACTCACAACCTGCCCCTGCAGATCTTAATAATTAGATAGTACACTTATTCATGTATTAAAAACCATAAAGTTAGGGGTGTGATACATGCCTGCATTAAGACTTCAAGAATTCTTCTTGGCCTCTAAGAACAGAAGAAAACAAAAGAAGAATGACAGGTAATAATATAGAATATGGATCCTGTGTTCCTTTTCTTCACCTTGCTAATATTTCTACTCTCCTGCATCCAAGGCTTTTTTTGTCATAAAACGCGCAGAACGGAGTTCCAGCACCTTTTTTGGGTGGAACCTTGTAGGGTAGGCAAGGCGGGTTGTATGACGTGTGTGAGTTCCGGCACCTTTTTTTTTTTAAATCAAAAAAGCACTGCCTGCATCTAATATTGCAGGATGGGGTGAAGTACAGCAACACACATTTATCTATAACATATAAAATAGGGAATGGTGACTTCTGCTTTTCTAATTGTGCTGTCCTTTTTGCTGTATAGCAAACTTGGCAAAAATACTAACATGGATAACTTTACATTTTTAATAGACTGATAGCTTTTGACTTACAAACTGCGCTTGGTATGGATAAAACATAAGCATCTGCAAGTCCATGCTTAAAATAAGTATGCTGTTCAATCTAATTGTCTGTATACTATTGCCTTTATACTTTTATGTTACTTGACGTTATCAGTTATACCTTCATTGTACTGAATTACAATGAACCTTTCAGCATGTAAGTGAAATTATTATCTCCTAAACTGGGCTAAAAGATGCTTGGATAGTATAGCTCAGAGTGAGTTAAGGAATGATAAATACTGCCATTAAGAAAAGACGAAAAACAAACACTGAATCCAACCTCTGGCTACTGGATTTGACCCAGAATGATACTGCCAAAATACATATTCTGTTGATCTAATCTCCTTTATGACAACAGCAATCATTAGTTGATCATCTTCAGTGAGAATTAATTATTAGAACTTTCAAAAGCTTCATATAATCAAAAATTCAGAAATAAGGAGTTGTGCAACTTTGCTCACGGCATAAGAAAACTCAGTTAGAAATAACATATTTTGTCATATAATGGCTTTCTTTGGAAAATTTGATATATTATTTGATATACTGTATTATTAGCAGTTGTATAGTTTGCTCTATAAATCTATTCCCCTGTCAGGCAAGGGAATATCCTATCACCTGAACTTTTCCAGCTGGCCTTTTAGGAAAGAAAGGATTATGGTGGTGGAGTTTAGGAGAGAGGAAGAGAGACGGAGGAAGAAGAGGGAGACAGAAAGAGAGAGGGAGAGAGACATCTTTGCAGATTGGACAAACTTGTATATGTTTATATCTCTTTTTTCTACAGTGCATACAACCGCAGAAATAGCTTATATGGTGCTGATGCTTTATTAAGCAACTGAAAATAAATATTTTTACCTGAAAGCCAGATTTACATATTTTACAATTTATTTTTATCCATGAACATACCTTAATAGTAAGAGGGTCAAGGGTTTCCCTTCCAATAATATTTCCCAAATAAAAAGCCTCTGGAAAGCTAGTGCTCCAGATGAACAGATAATCTGGATTTAAGATTAGCATTTATTTTGTTTTGTTTTGTTTATATCCCATCTCAATATTTTTAAAAAATGACTCAAAGCAATAAACACACACAATACTCTTTCCGCTTCCTATTTTCCCCACAACAAATCTATGAGGCGAATTGGGCTAAGAAAAAGACTGGAAATAATAATAATAATAACAACAACAACAACAACAACAATAATAATAATAATGAAGTTGGAAGGGACCTTGGAGTCATCTAGTCCAACCCCCTGCTCAGACAGGAAACCCTATACCATTACAGACAAATGGCTGTCCAGTCTCTTCTTAAAAACTTCCAGTTTTGGAGCATTCACCACTTCTGGAGTCAGGTTGTTCCACTGGTTAATTGTTCTAACTGTCAGGAAGTTTCTCCTTAGTTCTAGGTTGCTTCTCTTCTTGATTAGTTTCCATCCGTTGCTTCTTGTCCTGCCTTCAGGCACTTTGGAGAATAGCTCGACTCCCTCTTCTTCGTGGCAGCCCCTGAGATATTGGAACACTGCTATCATGTCCCCCCTCGTCCTTCTCTTCATTAAACTAGACATACCCAATTCCAGCAACTGTTCCTTATATGTTTTAGTCTCCAGTCCCCTAATCATAGAACGCCCAGAACAGAATTCCGGCACCTTTTTTCTCATAGAATGCCCAGAACAGAATTCCGGCACCTTTTTTGGATGTAGGCAAGGCAGGTTGTATGACATGTGTGAGTTCCGGCACCTTTTTTTTTTTTTTTTTTTTTAGAAAAAAAGCACTGCCCCTAATCATCTTTGTTGCTCTTCTCTGTACTCTTTCTAGAGTCTCAACATCTTTTTTACATCGTGGTGACCAAAACTGGATGCAGTATTCCAAGTGTGGCCTTACCAAGGCATTGTAGAGTGGTATTAATATATCGCGTGATCTTGATTCTATCCCTCTCTTAATGCAGCCTAGCACTCTGTTGGCTTTTTTGGCAACTGCAGCACACTGCTGGCTCATATTTAAGTGATTGTCCACTAGGACTCCGAGATCCCTCTCACAGTTACTATTATTGAGCAAGGTACCACCTATATTATATCTGTAAATTTGGTTTTTCTTGCCTAAATGTAGAACCTTACTTTTTTCACCATTGAATTTCATTTTGTTAGCACCCAGTGTTCAAGTCTGTCCAGATCCTCCTGTATCTTAAGCCTGTCTTCTGGAGTGTTGGCTATTCCTGCCAGCTTGGTGTTGTCTATAAATTTGATGAGTTCCCCATCTATCCCCTCATCCAAATCGTTGATGAAGATGTTGAAGAGCACTGGGCCTAGAACACAGCCTTGGGGCACCCCACTACACACTTCCCTCCATGCAGATGCAGTTCCATTGAGGACCACACGCTGAGTACGGCCGGTCAGCCAGCTACGAATCCATCTGGTGGTGATGCTGTCTAACCCACATTTTTCTGTCTTATCAAGTAGTAAGTTGTGATCTACTTTATCAAATGCCTTACTGAAGTCCAAGTAAATTGTATCCACAGCATTCCTCTGGTCCACTAATTTTGTCACTTGGTCAAAGAATGCAATAAGATTTGTCTGGCATGATCTGTTTTTGACAAACCCATGTTGGTTTTCAGTAATGACTTTGTTTGCCTCTAGGTGTTCACTGATTCGTTGCTTGATTATCTTTTCCAGAATCTTCCCAGGTATTGAGGTTAGGCAGATAGGTCTGTAATTTCCTGGATCCATTTTTTTTCCCTTTTTTGAAGATGGGAACTACATCAGCTCTCTTCCAGTCCTCTGGTAGTTCCCCAGTGCTCCAGTATCTTTGAAAAATATAGTTCAATGGTTCTGAGATCACATCTGCCAGTTCCTTGAGAACCTTGGGGTGTAATCTATCTAGTCCTGGTGATTTGAACTCGTCTAGGCTGGACAGGTGCTCACTTACCATTTTCTTGCCTATCTTAACTTGTGTTTCTATTCTGTTTTTTATGACAGTTTTTGATAGGTTGGACTGTTTTTTCCCTTTGTGTAAAGATAGATGCAAAAAATGAGTTAAATATTTCTGCTTTCTTCCTGTTGCATGCCACTTTCCCCCACTAATGGACCAATCATTTCCTTCACTTTTTTCTTGTTTTTTACATGTTGAAAGAAGCTTTTTTTGTTATTTTTGACTTTGGTCGCAAGCCTTAGTTCATTTTGAGCCTTGGCTTTCCTCATTTCATCTCGGGCTATTTGCTGATATTCTTAGTTATGTGCCCCTCTTTCCACTTTTTATACTTGTCCTTTTTTTTCAATTTATCAGAGAGTTCTTTATGCAGCCATGCTGGTTTCTTTTGAGAGCTGTTATTTTTCTTCTTTGTTGGTATTGTGCTAGATTGGGCTTTTATTATCTCACTTTTCAAAATTTCCCAAGCCTCTTGAGTTGTTTTCCCCTTGAGGATTCTCATCCATGGGATCCTTCCCAAGCCCTCTCTAAGTTTATTGAAATTAGCTCTCTTAAAGTCCAAGACTCTAGTTTGACTGTGTTCTATTGCTTGTGCTTCCATAATGTTGAATTCCAATATTGCATGATCACTTCCCCCCAAGGTTCCTTCTATCATTTCATCTCTGTTAGTGAGAATTAGATCCAATATGGCTAATCCCCTAGTTCCCTTCTCTACTTTTTGGGAGACAAAATTGTCTGCTAGGTTTGTCAGGAATCTGTTTGATCTTCCACTTGGTGCAGAGTTTGTCTCCCAGTTGATGTCAGGGTAATTAAAGTCCCCCATTAAAGTATGTGTGTTATGTTTTGTTTTGTTTTGTTGGTTTTAAAAATAAAAAAATATTTAAAACTTAAAAAAAAAATAAAAAAAAATAAAGTCCCCCATTACTATTGTGATGTGCTTCCTACATGCCTTAGTTAGCTGACTATCAAAAATTTCATCCATTTCCTCTGTTTGGTTGGGTGGCCTATAGTATACTCTAGACCTATGGTAATGTCATTTCCCCCCCTTTTATATTGACCCAAATGCACTCAAGACAGTTTTCATCATTGTTGTGCTCTATTTCTGTAGAGATGTAGTTATTTCTTATATAGAGAGCAACTCTACCTCCTCTTTTGTTTGACCTCTTTCTTTTAAATAATTTAAATCCCTCTAGCTGTGTGTTCCATTTGTGTGTTTTATCCCACCATGTTTCCGTAATGGCAACAATATCATATCTGCCCTCATTAACCTGAATTTCTAGTTCACCTTGTTTACTGTTCATACTCTGCGCATTGGTGTATAGACATTTGAGTCCTTTATGACTGACCCTGTGTTTACTTTCTACATAACCTGTGTGGTGCCTGAGTTCCCCTATTTTCTTACCACCTGTTTGGTTAGTGCACTTTGTGTGGCACTCGCTATTAAAAGCTTAATTTAGCTTGACAGCAAGGTTGATATTCTTGTCCACACACACATCTATGTTACATGCACTGATAGCCCTATAATTTTTAGATTGCCAGGGACAGGGATGTTCTGTATCAATTAACTCATTGTCCCCGTTATTTAGTTTAAATATTCCTCCAGAAAAATCTGTGAATTTATTGCCAAGTAACTCAGTCCCTTTCTTTGATGGATGAAAACCATCTCTTTTGTACATTTTTTCATTGGACCAGCTACAGACATCATGACTAATATAACCAAAGCCTTCCTCTTTACACCACTCCTTTAGCCACATATTGAATTCTGCTATACGCTGCTGGCCTTTTCCATTTTGCTCCTTATACACTGGTAAAACCTCTGAAAAAGTAAGCCTATAGCCTATCCTGCTAAGTTTCTGCCCCAAGCTCTGGAAATCATTCTGCACAGAGAGTACATCTTTTTGGGACAGATTGTTAGTGCCAAGATGTACAATAGCCTCCACATCACAGTCCTTGCTGGCATTCTTGACTATTTTAAAAATACGCTTCTTGTCCCTACTGGCAGTAGCACCTGGAAGACACTTGACCTCTTTCGAAACCTCTTGTCCTTTCCTAAATTTACATCCCTTATAATTGAATCACCAATCAGGAAGTGGCTTCTCTTTTTGGATACCTTTCTCTTC